ACACAGAGGCGGCGCCAGCTGAACGGTGGCCAGGCTCCCGGCGCAGGTCTGGCCGAGCGAGCAGTCTGCCCTGGGCGCCTTCGGGGACGGGGACGGGCAAGGACCGACCCACGGATGTGGGTCAGCTGCCCTGCGTGAAGCAGGCCCAGAGTTCCCGCCTCCCGCGGGGCCCTTTGTGCCGAGAAGCACCGTTTCGGCCCTTTTGTGTGAGATGGGGGGAGAAAAGACACCACCCCAAAGCTTTGTCTAGTAGAGAAAAGGACATAGACGGACAGCAGCTTTGAAACCAGAGAAGGCGGTAAATGGGGGCTCTATTATTGCTGGATGAGTAATAATAATATGAATGCTGAGTAAAAACTAGGCAAGATAAAGGTGGCAAAAAGAAGAAAACAGAAGAAAAGTTTACGGTTTCATGGTTAAAGGGAATTACCATATTTTGGTGTGTATAACGAGCATTTTTTTGCCCAAATTTTTGAGGGAAATAAAAGGATACACATTTTACATGGGTAGTACTAATTCTGTCCTATATAAATGTTTTTAATTCTTTTATTTATGCTGATGCATTAAAATGTAACTCTAGAAAACAATAACAATATTTGTATGCAAAATATTACCCTGGAATGCAATAATCGGTTTGTTTCTAAATATAAGTAAAAAATTGAATTAAAAAATTAAAACAAAGATTTTTTTCCCAGAAAATTTGGGCCAAAAACGTGGGCACACATTACAGAGGGCAGCAGCCGGTGAGTCGGTGACACCAGCCTGGATTCGATGGAAGAGGCAGCTGGGCTCCGGTGGGAAGGCTGAGTCCCTCAGCGGGCGAGCAGGGAACGGCGGGCGGCTGAGCGCCGGAGCAGAGGCGGCGAGGTCGGCCGGGGCTCACAGCGGGTCCGCGTGCGGCCGCGGGCCCCGGGGCGCGGTCCTCCGTGGACTGCGGTGGGTGGTCGCAGGGCTGGTCCTGGATTTCAGCTGTTAATCTTAGGGGGGCCATGGAACGGGGCCAAAGGAAGGCGTGGCTTTTATCAGAGCAGGAGCACTGACAGGTTGTAGGTGACAGTGGGGACGCAGGCAGGCGGGGAGTCAGAGGAGAGCCCTCCCGGAGGCTCCTGCCCCGGCTGTGGACAGGACTCTTTCCAGGCCCCGGGAGTGGAGGAGCAGTGAAGAGTGAGAGTGGCGCCGAACACACCGTGCCGGCTGCTCCGAGCCGTCCTGCGTGGCGGCAGCAGGGGGCGTACCGCAGTGCGCCTGGCAGGCGTGTGTGCGCGGGGGCCTGTGTCCCAGCAGCCGCCGGCCCTTCCACTGGGAGCGTCGGCGCGGCGGGCTGCCGCCAGTGGCCCCAGGCCTCAGCCCAGGAGGCTCAGTTCGCTGTCCCTCCCACCTGTCAGAATGACAACCCACATTTCTACATTTTGGACAAAATGGTGCGTTACTGCCTCCATAGTTCATGAGATCTGATTTCCTTGTAAATATAAGTAGGGATCATTTGCAAAATCTCAAGAGCGGAATTTCCTGTACAGACAGATGCCTGTTATATTTTTATAGCTCGAGCTCCTTTTTTCTTCTTTGGAAAGCTCTAGGGGGCTGGAAGCCGATGATTTTTCACATCAAGTTTAGTCCAACATATGGCAGAGAGCTCCGTGAGACTGTCTCCAAACTCTGCACTTCACAGTCTCCAGCCTCCGCAGGAAACAGAGCTGCGCTCTGACGCACCCACTCCTGGGGGCCGCGGAGGCCGCCGGAGCGAAGCCGCGGGTGCTGTGTCCCTCTGAGTGCGTCCTGGAGCCACTTGCCTCGCAGGGAAGCTTCCCGGGGCCTCGGTTGCGTGTGTAGACGGTTCTAGCAAAACACTTTGAGGCCCATCAGTAACCAAGTGGCTGTTACGTCTGTTCTTCAACTTTTAGTTAGACACACAGACACCGACTTCGAATCTGTATATTCTTATCGAAGTCGCCGTGTGTTTGTAGATCTTCTACTGGATTCTCAAGTATGACAAAAACCAGTCCAGCCAACGCGCACCTCATCTCTGCAGGGCCCTCGGCGCAGAGCCGGGGCGGCCCCGTGCAAAGTCACCGTTGGCCTCGCCTCTCTGCTGTGTCAGAGTGTGGAAGGCAGGGATGGAACATCATGACTGTCACGGCGCCGCCGTCCCACCAGGAAGGACTTCCGCGTGACCGTGAGGCCGTGCTCTCTGAGTGCCTGCCGCTTTTAAAACAGCAGGTCCTTTCTTAGAGGGAAGGGGTGCGCTGTGTGCCTGCATCTCCCAGTGCTATTGCCCGGCAGCCCCGGCCTCCTCCCTCTCGTGTTCTAACGTGTGTCCATAGCATGTCCCTTAGCAGGAGAGGACAAAGGGGGCGTGACTTAATTTTGTGAGAAAGCGAGGCTCTTCAAGGTCAGGAGTGCAGCCTGGGGTTGTCTGTCGACAGCACAGTGACAGAGGAAAGAATGAGCCCCTTTCTCTCATTCTTTGTTTCTTTTTTGGCCAAATGATGGAATTTGTTTGCACCCCATTTCCTCACCTGTAAGTGTTTCACAGAATTGCTGTTAAGGTCCCATAAGATAAAATCTACAAAGCCTCCACGGCACGGCTAGAATTATACAAGGTCGTGAGTGAAAGGCTCGCGCTGCCGGGGAGGGCCCCTGCGTCCCCTCCCCGTTCCGTCCAGGCCTTTCTTCCGATTTCCTGTTCTTGCCGGGGTCCGTGGTAAAGGGAAAACTAGAATCACACCCCACTGAGGCAGGATTATTATTGTTTATGTTCTATCCTCTGGAAGGTGTTATTAGGGTGGCCAAAAAGTTCATTTAGTTTTTCCTGAACAACAGCTCTAGTAGCACTTACTTGTTTTTAACCTCACCCAAAACAATTTCGTTAGATTATATTGTGACAGCTGTTATAGCAGCAGGCATTTAAAAAACAACTTATCAAAATTGGTGAATTTTTGTGTGTAGCTATTTTAATATTGAAGATGGAAGAAAACACTCAATGTTTTCAGCGTATCATGCGTTATTATTTCAAGAAAGGTAAAAACATGACTAAAATGCAAAAAAAAAAAAAAAAGATTTATGCAGTGTGTGGGGAAGGTGCTGAGATTAAAGGAACGTGTCAGAAGTGGTTTGCGAAGTTCCTTGGTACCTTTGACATTGTGGCCAAATAGTCCTCTGCTGCGGGGCGGCCTTGCGCCTGGGGAGGTGTCGAGCAGCGCCCGGCCCCTGCCCGCTGGAAGCCAGTAGTGGGAGACGGCCGACGTGCTCAAAACACCCAAATCATACGGTTATTGGTGAACATGAAAAAAAATGTGTCTTTTATTTTATAAAAAAAACTAAATGGACTTTTTGGCCAACCTAATAATATTTTAAAATTTGAAGAAAAATATACTTTAGATATTCAGATATTTAGATGTTGAACTGAATCCCTGGCAAAACACTGTCTTAAAATACTGTGCATGGTTTCTGCTGCCCGGCCGCCACTTTCCCACGATTGTAAGGTCAGACCACCCCAGGGGGGACCATCTGTACTTGGAAACTGAGCCACATAACCTCGCAGATCAGCCCCTGACAGGTGACTGTAACATTGTTTGATTACCTGAGCCAGTGAGTTAAGTGAATACTTCTGAAAGTACAAAAAAAAAAAAATCGAATACTATTAATTCATACTTAGACTGGTTTGATCCCTAGGAATTGCTTACATGTCAGAAAAAAATACTGGTTAAAAGAATCAAATAGATGGCACTCTGTTCATAGTCCTATTGCTCTGTGATCTATGATGAAAGGAGATTTAAAACATCAGAACTTGTAGATTACAGATGAAAGGTTTTAAAATTATTGGTGAAAATGCTGGCATACTAAGACCAGCATATTATGAACTGAGTCTTCAGTCATAGTCAGACATTGGTTTAACTCTTTGCTGCGTGTTACTTGCTAAGTTGAGAAGAAAGAGAAGGAATCCAGATAAGGTGATTCTGAAGATCCTTTCATTTGTAAAGAATAGATGAGTTAGGAAAGAATGAGATTATTTCTGATGTGCAAGTTGGAATTATTGGCGTTTTTGTGGTCTGACGGCTGGTAGACCCCCAAAGGCCAGCACCCCTCCCAAGTGGCCCCGACTTTCAGACACACATGCCGACTTTGCCGCAGGTGAGCCGCCAGGGCTTCTGCCTCGCTCCCTCGGAGCTGAGAAATAGATATCGTGACTGACCAGAACAGATGACGACAAAGGCCTGCCATTTTTATTTTTGTGAGAATTGTAAAATTAACGTCAAGAGAAGGGTTTCCAGCTTTTATGCTGATAGAATATTTTTTCACATTTGGAAAATCACTTTTTTTCCATCTTGACTATTGCTAATGCACACACCCCTGGTCATTAAACACAGCTTTACTCGTGTGTTTCCCGCATGCCTCGCGGCCTCGCTCCCCTTTCTGCGCACGGCGCTGCGGTGCTGGCCTCAGGCAGGGATGTGCCAGCGGAGCTGGCCCTCAGCGCTGGCGCCCGAGGGGGACAGTGGCTCGTCACACAGGCTGGCGACGGGCCCCTGACTCCCGATGAAACAAGGCCTAGTGTGAACGTACCAAAAAATGACCATATTTGCTCATTTAATTCCTCTCCCATTTGGCTCAAACTTTTACTTTAAATAGGAAAAAAATGGCTAATAATAGACTAATGGTTGACTGAGTAAGAAACCTGGTTTCCAGTGGAGCCAGGAGTTTTAGAGGTGAAAATCTCATTCTCCATAAAAGCGAGAATCTCTGAATTTTGGCCACCTCCCGAGGCAGAGAGGGTCTTCGGGACATGTGCCTGGCTCTCCCGTGAGCTCCTCAGGCCCACACTCTTGTAGCACTAGTTTGCCCCATTTCTAGAGGCGCTTCCATCAACTTTCTCCTACTGTTTTGCCCTTGGAACTTCAGGCTGCTTTGGCCGAAAGCTACCGAACCACTGGTATCCTTGCCAGGCCCGCTCGCCCGCCCTGCCGCTCGCTGCTCCTCAGGAGAACGGCTCGAGCACTCACCGGGGTGAGGACCACGGTGAGGAAGAGCTCGCCGCCCCGGATGCTCTTGTCCAGCTCCTCCGGGCCGCCCGGGTAGTCTCTGTAGAAGATCGTGTGCGTGAACAGCCCGCAGGTTTGTCTTGGGAGAACCTGGAAGGAGAATGAGCAGTGAGGAAAAAGCTCTTTCCAGCCGATCAGTTTGTTGAAACTCGGCTTTTTTTTCTTGGTGGAGATAGATGGTGCACAAGCCGGTGTCATGATTTTACTCTTAGCTAAGGCCCAGAAAACCCTTCACAGTCGGGGCGGTGGGGGCAACAGCCGTGCGGCAGGAGCCCCGGGGAGACCCGCAGAATCGGTTTAAAGCTAGGGTAGACCGCAGATCATTTCAGACGCGCGTCTATTTTAAATCTCTAACTCAGGACTTCTGTTAAGAAGCCTCGTATGTTCTGGCATCTTAAGAAATAAAACAAAAGGGAGGGAAATGAGACTTTAAAAAAAAAAATGGAAGTGTCTGTGCTGCATGTAGTTCTAGGAGGCAGCCATGCTCAGCCTAATCCTTTCTGCCAAATTCTACACGTGGATTAGAAAATGAAGTGAATTATTAACTCAGTGTGACGCTTAGGAAATGACATTTTGAATTAGAGGAAACATTCGAGACACAAGTCCTCGTGTCCGCGCCGGTTGGAAAGGCCCCGCGCTTTGCAGCCTCTCCATGTGCACTGGCCCCTTGTCTTTCCTTTTAACATGTGTTAAATAACCTCTCCTCTAGTCCTTGGAAACTTTTCTTAGAAAACGTAATTCTCAGCTCAATCAATACATTTTAAATTGCTGTGTAAATCAAAACTTTATATAGTTTATTTAGTTTGGTAAGTTGGTAAAAGTTACATTCTTAGAAGCTGTCTTACCATGATTAAATCATTCAAAGAAATTCAGTTGAATTGTAGACTATTAGTTCTGATGACATTTATGTTTAAAAGAGTTACACATTCTCACAATGTTATGCACAAAATCACTGACAAAAAAGAACTAAGGCAAAGGTATGCCCGCTGAGTGAAATACACTGCCTCACAATTCACGGAAGTGCCCTTTTCTGGAAATTCGAGCCTCCCTAGTGTTTATTCATTATCTCACACGTATTCTAAACTCTCTGCAAGGCCAGGCTAGTTTGATGTTTTCAAAGGACGTCATTCTGGATCCCTTTCAGGATTCAGTTTGAAAGAGAGAGAGACTGAGCATCTTTGGACCTGATCTCCTAGCTGAGTCCATGCAAAGTGGAGAGAGGAGAGTAGGGAACTTTGAGTTTTGTCTCTTTCTGAGATGGTTTGGGTTTGAGCACTGGAAGAGGAAGTCCCAGGATTTACCCAGCCGCTCTGGGGGGGGCCCCAGCTGCTGAGAGTGTGCGGGCCCCATGGGCCCGGGGGGGCCACAGACCAGGAGGCCACTGGAGTGGGACGGAGTCCCATCCCCCACCTCACTGTGCCGCTGTTACAGGGCGCCGGCCCTGTCCCTGGGAGCGGCTCTGTGCGGGAGAGGAACGGGAGCTGCTGGCACCCTGCTGGGGCCCCCTAGGGCTGGCGCCCCGACCGTCACGCTACCAAACTCAAACTCTGAGACCTGGGTGTGTCCCTGGGACACTTGCAGCCACCAACGGTCCCTGGGGGACGGTGATGAAAGCCACTGTCAACAAGACTCTTGGCCCATGGGACCCGAAGCCAGAGTCCTTCACCTAGGGCCCAAAGCCGGAGCAACCGCCCACCGTGTGTCTGGGAGCTTCCGGGAAAGACCATCCGGGAAGCTGCCCGCGGGGTGAGCAGGAGTCTCTACCGAGGGGCACCCCTGGGAAGGACTTGCGGTCTTCCTGCTCCAAGGTCTCCCGTGCCACAGCTCGCGCGCGGCCGGGTGCCCAGTCCTGGCGTCCCTTGGCTCCTCCCTGAGTGACGGTGAACACGGACCTGGAGACCCTGGCAGGGCCAGGGGCCCAGGGACCCCGGTCAGGGCTCGGGCTCCTGGACGTGCAGGAGGGTTTCTGGTCCTGGCGGACTTAGAAGATGCGCCACGGACCTCCGAGGAGAGGAAGGGGTGCCCAGGCCCGAGTTAGGGCTGCTGCCCTCCGCGGGGGGCTTGGCGCCGCGTTAGGGTGGTGTGGGACTGGAAGGCGAGGAGCAGGCAGAGGGCGTCAGGGAGTCCCAGCGGCGGGGGGAGGTGGGGATGACCGGGGCCAGCGCACGGCCGTGCTGCAGGCCTGCGCTGGAGCAGCTCCCTGTCGCCTGCAGGACCCTGGACACAAAGAGACAGACGCTGTTCCACATCGTAGGCAGGGTCCGAGGAGCAGGGGAGGGGTGTGGGCGGGGCAGCCGGGAGGAGCCACTGAGGAGGGCCAAGGAGAAAGCAGCGAAAGGCGGCATGGCCCGCAGTGGTGGGGGAGGTGGAGCGGGCAGCGCTGTGGTGCCCGAGGTCCGGGCAGGGACTGGGCTGGGGAAGGGGGGAGGCTGGGAGATACCACGAAAGGATGGCTGAGGAGAGCGGAGGCTGACGGCAGTGGGGGTCAGCGTGGCGTTCAAAGTGCAGAATGAGTTACGGCTCTCAGATCGAGAGCTGGTGTGAAGGGAAGACAGCAAGTTTCACCTGCGGCCTCAGGGGCCGGATTTGTGAACAGGTCACAGGAAACAGTGTTTGCTCATCTCATACAAAACGGGTGCGATCTAAGCCCGGGTCACTGCTCAGCGCCCTGCTGCCCTTGTCCTTCCCTAGCAGTCTCTCTTGGGGGGCGTGCCGGCTCGGGTGGGGGACACCGCCCCTCTCCTCCGGACTGCCTCTCCCCCTCGGGAGTCCCGGCCCGAGGGCCCACCCAGCAGACACAGGTTTCCCCGGCTGCTGCGGGAGGGGGCCCCAGAGCCTGAGACACCTTTCTTGCCCGCAAATCCGTGCCTTCGTAGTGCGAGTGCACGTGTTTCACAGACTCGAGTCATGCGCGCCTCTCAGGCACTGTAACCCAGGCCCCTAAACCCGCTCGGGCCTGAGGCCCGCAGCTGGGGCCCAGGGAGCCGTTTTCAGTAAAGAGGAGCAACGCTGGGCTCACATGCGCCCTCACTGTCCCGTCCGGCATTCACAAGTTTCTGTCTATCGGGGGAAAGTCAAGACGGGAGTCTGGTCTGTGACTTTTGCAGACGTTGGAAAACAGAGAAAAAGCCGGTGGCAGCTAATTCTACAGGGTGGACACCCGCCCCGCCGGGCAGGGCGGTGGGGCCTCGCCACCGGGCTCTGCGGGTGGGCCTTCCAAGTCCGTGCATCCAGCCAGCCCAGGAGCCGGCCGCCTTCCCCAGCACGTGCGTGTTGTTTGATTGGGGGTGGGGGGGTGGGGAGCGCGGATCAAGATTTAATTACTTACTTTGGGAAGTCTCACAGAGTATTAGGTAATGATATATCTTGACAACATACATTTGTCACCAGTGTAGGGGGGAAAAAAAAGAAAAAGAACAACACAACAGAGAAGCTTTGGAGAGAACAGGGCCGTGGCCCTAAGCGACTTCATCACATCGCCTCTCATTGTACCCTGTGCTGTGACCTGTTAGGGTGACACAGGGCTTTGCACGTGGCCTGGGGCCATCCAGGCTGAGTATTTTAGTGGGAAATGGTACAGGGAAGAGCACAGTTTGGCTTGTTTTAGAGGCGCCCGGGGGTCACTGTGCGGAGGGCCCGTGTAGGGTTAACATACCAGGCCCCCGTCTGCAGGGGCGGTGCTTCTTTACGGCATCTGCATGCGACACGGAATGTCCCCTTAGCATTGGCACAGCAGTGTGTCAGCGAAAACACTGTTTGAAGCTGTACGCAAGAGCTAAAATGAAGGGACTTTAATTAAGCACCCTGTGCTCGGATGGGACAAACACACTTGCCGCAGCTCGGAGCTTGCCCTGTGGAGAAGCCGTCACAGGCTGCCCTCCCCCGCGGCCCTCCCTGCCAGGGCGCTGCACAGGGGACGGCGCGCCCGCGCCGCCGGGGCCCACTCACCATGATGCTCCTGTGGATGAAGCCCCTGCGGTGCCGCGCGGGCTTCAGGTGCGGGTACTCCTCCGTGCTGGTGACCTGGATGCCCCAGACCTTCTTCCAGGCCGCGTACAGCGGGCCGTGCACTGGGTAGACGCCCGAGTGGTGCGGGGCCACCGCATAGCCCGCGTCCGTCGGGATGCCGTGCTCCTAAGACCAAGCGAAAGTCCATTAGGACATGGAGAACTTGTCTGGACCCTCGTTTGACACCAGGGTGTTCACATGAGCCATAATACATTTGTTTTAATCCATTGTTACTTGGTTGTTTGGTAAAATTAAAGTAAGCACTGTTCGGACATGGAGACTTCATGAAGCCAGTGGCACCTACCTGTCTGCTGTTGATGCATCTGCGTGGAAGAGGCGGTGGGACAGGACCAGGGACAGCAGTGAGTCACGCAGGAGAGCCTGCTGCCCGTGCCCCCTGTCACAGCCTCCTGGTCCCCTATTCCCAGTTTCAATAAGGTCAATGACAGACACTTGCTATGATACTCAACACTGCCCGCAACATGAAGCCAGTGTTTATTGGAGGGACAGAGTACACCCAAGATGGCCACACTGGAACAGAGGACGCTTTGCCTGCCGCCCCGTTTCTACCAGCGCTGTTACCTTCGTGGGTCCCTCAGCATGTGGGCCCATAACAGACAATATCCCCTGCCTCGGTGACACTTCATAGAGCAATTTCCTGTGAAGTCAAAGCCCTGGGTGTTGTGAGGGTAGAAGGTACTGAAGAGCCAAATCATCTGGAAGCTAAGTTGATGTGGGGCCAACCTTTTGTACATTAAAAACATCCAATTAAAAAGCACAGTCCTTTCTTCTATTCAGTTGGTCTTGTAAATTCCAAAAATAAATCTATGTGACATTTGGATTTTTCTGGAGGGGACTCGGGCAACTTTGGATAATGAGAGAGTTCTTCATTTGAGATGCTGGTCTCTTTGGCATGAAAGATGAAACATGACTTTTATAAAAAGAGTGCCTGTGGCTTCTGCGGTAGATGAGCATTTTCCCTCCTGAGTGACATTTTATTGTTCTATCTGTATTTGTCAGTTGCTTCCCAGTCTTCAGCAGTTCTGCCCACGTAGCCTCCTGTGACCTAGTCCTGGCTTCTCCTGATGCCAAGGGGCAAGTTCACACACAGCAGCCCGGGCAGCGGGCTAAATGCCTTGAGTTGTCGAGATGCACTACCAGTGGATACAGAAACAAGTGGCGAGGCCTGAGGCTTCGTCACAACCCAAACAACCATGGGTGAGGCAGCGTGTGGAGCTCCGGGACACAGAAGGAAGAAAATGGGTCCCCAACTACTGTCATCGCCCACGTATCCGTCAGGCCCCTTCCCACGGGAGCCGCCCCACAGAGGCCCACCTGTGGCGGTCATCCTCCGCCATTCCTGACGGTCCCCTTCCTGCCTCTGCCGTGTGCCGTGTGCCGTGCACGCCACCCCCATGGGAACGGTCGCCCTTAAAGTCGGTGCGGCTGCTGGAAGGGGCGCCTCGCTGCTGGGAGGGAGACGCCACAGTCGCCGCGGAGCAGGGGCCGCTCCTGTGCTTCTGAAGGGTGACAGCCAATGCTACCTGTTCTTTGTTTTATTTGCATCTTTGAGAAATCACCACATTTGTGCAATTATAATACCATTTATAATTTCACTAAAAATTAAACTGAAATTCCTCATTGATTTTTTTTCTTCTTCCTTTAGTGTGAGTTTTAAAAAGCTCACACTAAAGCATTTTTTGTTCCAACTAAAAATCACTTAGCAACACATGCCTCGTGTGGGAAAGGTCAGTGGCGTTTTCATCTAAGTTGGGGGCGGTGAGAATGGACCGGACGAAAGAAAATGAATTGCAATCGCAGGAACTTAAGGGGGAAAAACGAACAATTACAGCTGGGCCATTCTTTAAAAGGGCACAGGAAGAAGCAGGGGTGAGTTTCGCAGTGACAGGAGCTACATAATTAAATTCAAGTATCTGCGCACTGGCAAGAAGCTGCACGGACTGTGAGCCCCGGTGGCTCTAAACGCCCAGGACTGGTCCACCACGCTGTGTTCAGGACCACCGGGCGGGAAGAGGGAGGCCCCGCACAGCACAGGAGGCTCCCTCATTTTGAAATATTCCCAGGTATTGGGGAACCAGTGTAAACACACTTTTTCTTCCTAGCTCCTTACACTAAAGAAATCAGAGGCATGTGATCCTTGCCTTTATTCACACGCTGGTCCTGTGCCATCCCAGTGCATAAACGCCACGTCTGGGCCAAAGCCAGGCCAGTCAGGGCGGGTCTGTGCGTTAGGGAGGTGGGGTTTGGGACCGACGGCTATCATTGTCAATAGTAAAGTGCGTTCCTGTGATAAAAGATGCTGCCTCTGGAGTGGTTCGGAATGAAAGATCTTGAAGGAAATAATTACCCTAGTGTAGGAATCTAATTTTTTTTCAGCTGTTAAATACACGGATTGGGCAAGTAGTCACTAAGTTTCAGCTTTAAAATTCTGTGTTTCTTCAGCATAATCTTTGTGGTTTTAGAAGTGTTGTTATATTTGGATGCGAACAATAAATGTACTATTTTAATCCATGATCTAATTTTAAACTAACATGTACCATTTTCCTTCTATATGTTTAAGGAAGTAATAAACTCCTAAAAAGGGATTGGTGTATTCACATCAATGTGGTTAATGGTTATAGGCTTGGCCATGGACTTTTTCCTCGTGTTTACATGGCGGTCTTTATTTCTTTGTGTAAGTCTCTCCGCCTGCTGCCACGTGGAGAGCCCCCTGGGACAGCTGTGCTGTGCTTCACGGGCTCGGTTTAAAGGGCTGAACGTCCTCTCCGTGGGTAGCTGTTGTGCAGTGAAGGGCTTGGGTGGTCGTCCTCAGCCCGGTGCCAAGGAGCCGAGCCCTCCATTCTGGAATCCCCCATGTGACGGGAGTGTCTTTGTCACTCCTCGTGGGTGCCCGAGGGCCTGTCTGAGTTTGTGCTCACAACCTGGCCATGGGTGGGGCTGGGTCACGCAGGAAGATCGCCCGAGGGACGCAGAGCTGGGGCTTTGAGCCAGGCGAGACCAGCCAGACCTCCGGGGAGGGGGGGAGCTGGACAGAGTTCAATCATGTGGCCAGTGATTCCGTCAGCCATGCCTATGACCCAAAACCCCAATATAAACCCTCGACCCCACCACTGAGGTGAGCTTCCCTCGTCAGTGATATTCCTGTGGGTCCAGAAACCCTGGGAAAGTGATCCTCGTCTCACAGTTTAGATTTTAATAAGTGGCTGAGGTAACCAGAGTAACAGGTCTTTGGAGAAAGGTGATGAGATCTGAGGAGCTAGAAGGGTGTTACAAGGACCCAGGAATCAGAAGTGTGATCGCCTCACCCTGCGGTCACTGAGGTCTGGAGAAGACCGTGTAGGGTGCCATTGCACCCGAGTTTTGTTTTTCTGCTGTCCGCGGACAGTCAAGGAGCAGCGCAGACCCGGGCGGCCCGGTAGAGGGCGCTGGCGGGCACCCGCCCCCCAGAGACCCGTCCCGCGGGCCGAGCGGAGTGATAACACTGCCGGCCTCACCGGGCTCTGGAGGGGGAGAGCCACGAGACAGGCAGCGTTGCTGGGAACGTGCCTCTTACTGCCCTTCATCTAGTTAGCATTGTTCTCTTTTTTTATTGAAACAACAACAGATACAACAAGGAAACAAATAAACGAAGAATCCTTCCACCATCATTTCCATCCCTCAAAAAAACAGAGTTCTTATTTAAGAGCAGACATTTCTAAAAGAGGATACACTATCATCAATCTTTTCTAAAAAAGTGCCACTGAGCAGTACATTTCTTCCGGACAAAGTAATTGATAATGTGTAGAAGGTGGAAGGTAACAATTTGGGAGGGAAGCCTAGATTTGCTAAGGCTGTAATGGTGACATCAACAAACACCCTTCTTTGGCTCCTTGTGCCCTTCACGCACGACCCCGAGCTAACTGCCTGGCTATTTGGAGAACTTCAGTAGAGCTTAGGTAGCCAAATGCATCAAGGAATTCCAGAAACTGAAGTCAAGCTAACAATTCAGTAGCAGTACTGGAAAGGGTTAGAAAGCCAGCGCCTGTGGCTTTAACCTTCATTTCCCAGGGAACCTCTGAGAAAGAATTGCTGGGGGAGAGTGACCTTTGCTTCCCTCTCCCTGAATAAGGACCCAGGTTATTTTGAGCAAGTTCCCACTTAGCAGTGCGCGCCGCCCCGCTCTGCGTGCCCCTGGGAGCGCACACTTGGCGTGTCGGCACACCTTTGTGGAGGGTCCCGCAAGGACGCACACCACGAGAGGGTGCACTTTTGTCGGACACTCGAAAGAGTGATGTAAACACTTGTACTTCCCACTGGCCAGGTTGGTTTTTTTTTTTAACATTGCTGTTGTTTCTTCATAAACACATGAAAGAGTTTGTAGAAATGTTAAAAAAAAAGAATTTGCGAAGCTTTAATTTTTTATGCGGTAGCAAAACAATTGAAAAGGAAACGACCTGAAGACACAGAGGAGCACCTGGAGGGCTGGCGGCAGGGCTGGCAGGGACGCGTTTCCCGTGGCCCTCTTGGTCCCTGGGAGGTGCGGGGGCTTTGAACACCTCAAAGCCCCAGGGTCTTTCTGAAAGGAGACGGGGCGGGCTATGGACTGGCACTGTGTGTGTGCGTAGCGTTGTAACCGCAGTCCCCGGCTCCTGAGGCGGGGGGCGGGGCCAGGGCGCTGCCGCCCTGTGTTACCGTTGCTGAGGCCCTCTGCCGAGGGGCCACCTGGACAGTCCGAGCCAGGGCCCCTCGGCCTCCCGCGGCTCGAGGTCGGCGCGGACTGCGCCGCACAGGCCGCCCTGCTGTGAACGCCCGCCAGGGCGGCCCTCCCCGCGGCCGCTGGGCCCCCGCCCCTGCGTCCCGATCGAGCTCTGTCTCTGTCAGGGCCTCTAGAATTCATTACACGCTGTTCCCAATGTAAAGAAAGTGAACATCGGCTGTGCTTTTTGTAAAGTGCTTCACTGGGGTAAAAGAACAGAAGTCCCTCGTTCTCTGGCTGGCAAGCAAACTAATTAAACAATTACCGTATATTCCCTAAGCCAGCAAGTCTTTCCATATATTTTTAATTACACTTTGATACTATAATCTTTATTTCCACATTAGAAAAGTTAATGTGCTCACTAAACTAAAAAGTTGCATAATTGGCAATAGACACTTCAGCTAATGTCAATGAGCAGGTTCTGCTGAACTTGACACAAGGGGGGTGAAAGCACACTACTGGGAAGAATGGCGACGATGTCGTCGGCGGCAGGCCCGTGCTCAGCGCAGGGCGCTGCCCGCGGGCGCTAGCCCTCCCGGTGTCGCTGGCCGCAGCGCTCGGGGTCACGGGCGCCGGCAGAGGCCGAGGGCAGAGTTTCCGCTCATTGTCTCATTGAAAGTTACACCACAGTAATTTGCCAAAATTTAGATCCAATTCTTCGGTTGAGAGAGTGTGTGTGTGATTTTTGAGGTTTCAATGCAATATGTTATTTCACTTTTCTAATAGAATTTTGTCCAATTTTTAAAGCTGTACAGTAGACATTTCAAAATGTGTTGTAGGTCAATAATGAACGTCGCCCTTAGTCCTTGCCTCAGAAATGGCACCTTTCAAAAACATCCCCTGTTGAAATTTCATTTTAATCTCTGAATTAGCCCATATTAGATGACTAAAAATATTTTCTAATCCCTGTTCTAAAGCTGTATTTCCTGACGGGTGTAATCATCAAACACAAGTTCTCTTAAAGGGTTTGCCTGACCCTCCGCATTAGGCTCTCAGACAGAGCGTCCAACGCTGAACTGCAAAGGGCATGAGGCCCCTTGTGAGGTGGACACAGCCGCGTTGTGCCGAGGGTCCCAGATCCACGTGTTGGCTGCACGCGCGGTGCGGGCGCGGGCTTTGGCTGCAGTGGGCGGCAGAGAAGGCCAGGGAGGGTGACAGCATCCTCCCGCTCCTCTCAGCTGTGCAGGTGTTGAGCTGTCTGTGATCTCAGGCCCTGCTCTGGATGCGGAGTTTTGTCCGCAATCCCCAGTCTCGTGAGAATACCCCCGGCTCCCACGCAGCCCGCCACGCCCTGTGTGCTCTTCCAGCCCTGTCCTGGGAGACCCGCGCGTTCGTGTTGTGCTCCGCAGCCTCCCAGCCAGGGGAGAGAGCAGGCTGCGCGCTGCATGGAAAGGTGGTCTGGGCGGGGTCAGGCGTCCCGCGCTCCCCCTAGCAAGTCCGCGGTTGGGGAGAGTGTCCCCAGGACAGCCTCCGTCGACCAAAGCAGCCACTGTGTCTACGCTGACAAACAACATGCATCCCATGGACAGCTCCCCCGACTCAGTGGTTTGTCTCCTGTTCCAGAGCGTTAGGTGCTCTGCCCGCCTGGGAGGCCTTCAGGGACCTCGGGGACAGCTGCCCTGTGAGTCCGCCCCAGTGCCCGGGTCCCCTCTGCGTGTCATGGGGGTCGCCCCGGAGAGGAGCCCAGCCTCCCCCCCGAGCCTGCCTCTGACTGAGCAGTGTGAGAAGCCCAGGTTTCCTGTCCTCATTCTACACCTGCGCACTTGGCAGTCACGGGCCTGCCACCGCCTCTCTGAGGCCCCGTTTGCTCCTGTCCAGTGGGCGGTGCACAGACCTCCCATCCGGCTGCTGTGAGAACCCAGGCGCTGAGGCAGGACACGTAAGACAAGAAAGCGCTCGGCCTGCGTAGTCCAGCTGGGAGCCTAGCGCAAGGCGGCTTTGTCCCCTGGTGCCCCCGGGCGTTGGCAGGCGCTTTGAACACGTGTCAAGCTCACGTGAACCAAATGTTACCCGAAGGCAAGACAACCTTTTAAAACAGAGGGTTTTGTCCCTCTTACCCGTCACTCTAAACCCCTCGGGAGCCAAGGCAAAACCTGGAGGAGGTAGTTCATGGTGCCGAGGCCGCCACAGTGAGACAGTGGTGGCCGTGTGCTCTTCCTGTCCCCTGCGCCCCATGACCTTCTCTCCTGTCTGCCTGGCCCTGGAGGCACGGGTGCTGCGCCGGCCTTCCGCGCGCCTCTCCGCCCCTCCCCGGACAGAACGGGCGAGCAGTCCCGCGCTGGACCGCACACTAAGGAGCACCTTCCGGCTCCTTTCTGAAGGCCCTCTCTCCTGTCCCCCGCGGCCGCAGAGACCGCATTGCGGTTGTGGTCGGTTAGGAGTGGCGCTGCAGGGCAGCGTGTCCTCCTCGGCGCTGGAGCTGGGCGGTCAGCAAGGGCCACGCTTCGGTTTTCAATTACACTCTCCGCTCATGATGCTTTTTAGTTGAGAACTCTTAGAAGTGTAACTTCTGTGCGTCTTTCTGTACTAGCCGTACTTTCAAGTATTTGCACCTGTTTTAAGTATAAACACAATACTGGCATCCATTGCTTCTTTCACCCAAATAATGGGTGAATATATTATTCCCAGTAACGGTCTATTTTTAGGACACTGTAACAGTGAATATTATGTCTTCTCACCTGCCTGGATAAACCGCTTATTTTTGAAGGCTACCAAAACAACAATGACAAAAAAAAAAAACCTTCCTCTTGATTCTCAGTTTATTTTTCACTGGTACTTTCTTTACTCGTATTTTCTTCTTTCACAAGTTCTGTTCTCTCTTTCTTGATTCTCAGTTTATTTTTCACTGGTACTCTCTTGACTCGTTGTATTCTCTTCTTTCACAAGTTCTGTTCTCTCTTTCTGCACAGATCTGAGGAGAAGCCACGAGTCCTCTGCTCCTCGCATGCTCTCTGCCGGCCCCCGTTGCCGAGGTCGGCAGTCTTAGAGGCCTGAAGGCAGACAGCGAAGGGGGCTGTGTCTTGAGCATGTTGGTCTCTCTTTACAACACGTGGCAATGCCTGCCCTCTCTTACGTGCTGTTTATTATTCCTGTTTCTATGCTGGGGGAAAAGGTGTCTCATTGCCTCACAGGAACATTGCAAATATTGTCAAACACATTCAGAGCATCAACAGGGAGAACACTATTCTCGCTTTTTGGACAAAATGACAATGTGAACATGCCCTGGAAACTGTGTTGCCCCTCTGGGGAGTAGATTGAAGTTAAAGGACAAGAATGGGCTCCTGACGCCACCTGCCAAGTACTTGGTCTTCTAGATCCTCAAAGAAAAGCCCGGCCCATTGATAAATTCTAACCTTCTCTCGTGTGAGTTTGCACGAGGCGTCAGCCCCCCGGACAGCATGCTGCCGCCGTTCACAACGACCGCCTCCCCCGGGCAGTGGGCGTCGGCGCGCGCTGACGTACTGTAGGGCCGAGAGCGGTAGGTGGTCCCCTGCTCCTGTTCCCGCAGCCCCCAGCTGCCCTCTGTCCCTGCCCTCTTAGAGTGAGGACAGGGGAAGGCAGCTGTGTGGGAAACAGAGTCTCCCCTGGGCTCCGGGTCTGGGCCATGGGTCAGGACGCCTCAAGCCTGGGCTGTCGGTCCTTCATGCCGGCCCTTGCCAGTAACAGAGTCAGGACTTCAGCCTCTAGTGAAACGTACTCTGCCTGTCAAGGGACTGTTATAGTTCAGAGTTTTTCAAAATCACATCCAAAGTACCCAGTGTCATGTATTTTAATTTGTTTCACACACAGGGTGAAGTCTACACTGAGAAGGATTTGCCCAGAAACATGATGCGGTGGTTTTGGATTTATTAACCACATAACCTGTGAACATTGTTGTATCAGTTTGGGGGTTTGCAAACAAGGAGAAACCACTGTAATAACAATAGCACGTTTGAATCGCTTTCTAAGTGGGACTTCCTGCTGCCTTGCTCACTCCGAGTTGGCCCCGGGCGCTCCCCACTGTGCCCGAGGCTCGAGGGCCCCAGTGTGCGAGGAACTTGGCCAGACACTGCAAGACGGTCCCATGGCTTTGGGGTCGGAGCTCAGAAGACATGGCCCCTGTCCAGCGGTGCACATACTGAGCACTTCCGTGAGCTGACACCGTGATCCTGAGACGCAAGGAGTGTGGTTGCTGCCCCCCACCCCATGCTCCCCATGGAGGAGGGACTCCCTCCGTGTGTGTGGCCACCCAAGGAGTTCACAGGGACAGAGATAAGGCCCCTCCCTGCACAGCACGAGGCCTGTGGCTTGTCCGTCACCATCCACCTTCTCCGTCTCCGCTGATCACCTGCGCGTCGCCCGCGTGCTGGACTCACCAGAACCCCTCCTCTGCGTCGCTGCCCCGAATCAGGAGCCCGCCACCCGCATCCGCATCGACTGCGGCAGGGCTCCCTCCCGTCCACTGCCCGCCCCGGGGAGCCCTCAGACCTCAGGCCGCAGGCAGGTCTGCGACGCGCCCTCCTGCCCAGCCTCCTCTCGCCCCAGTCTTCTCTCCCCGGGTCTGCTCCTCACTCCCAGCGCCAGCGCCCCTTGCACAGGACCGGAGCCCGCCACTGGTGACACGCGTTCCCCTGAGCGGTGGGCTTGATGTCTGCGCGCTTCGGCACGCGGTCCAGGCACTTCTCATTTTGTTGAGAACTGTCTGTGCGTATGTTTGGCCTTTCAGGCAGCAGGGGGTCCCTGCTGGACAGGGGCCATGTCTTCTGAGCTCCGACCCTAAAGCCATGGGACCGTCTTGCAGTGTCTGGCGAAGTTCCTCTCACACTGGGGCCCTCGAGCCTCAGGCCTAGTGGGGAGCGCCCGGGGCCAACTCGGAGCCATGGACCGAGGGGCTGCAAGACCAGGTTGTGCCAGAGGCCACGCTGGAGCACCTGCTTTACAGGCACCTGCACGGCAAGGCCTCTGAGGGGCTCAGTGTACGCGCTCACTGTGGTCTTCACGGGGGCTACTTACTAAGGCGAACTCCTTGTTGAGGGTCATCTGCTCCACCAGGGAGGACGCGTTGTGGAAGAGGTGCGGCTGCATGTGGCTCCACATGTGCGGGAACCACCAGAACTCGCCCACCGAGCGCAGCAGCAGGTCGTCGCCCGCGTCCTCCTCCGCGGTGCCTGCGGGGTGGGGGGCGGCTCTGTGATTGATTCCAGGCGCACTGAGTCTGTATCACCCATCCACCCATCCATCCATCATCTATGTAATATGCACTCCTACGTCCATATTTAGAAGACACCGTTTATATGCTCTTAGAAATATTGGAGGCTTTGCACATGAAATGTAGCACAGAAAGCCTGCTGCCTGGGGAACAGCCAGAGGCCGTGACAGAATTCTCTGAAGAGCTTTTAAGCAGGAGGCAGGACTCGCTGCACTGTGGGGCGCAGAGCCATTTCCAAGGACTCCGGAACTGTTCCCTTTTGGCACCTTTGCTGTGACTTGTCATTTGGAGAGAGTGGGGGGTATAGGAGAGGTGACCGAGGGATGGGAGTCAGGGCGCATGTGGCAGAGCTCCAGCCACAGGTCACAGGACACAGCGGTGACACAACAGTCACAGCAAAGTGACCCAACTTACCTGGTCTACTCCTGGCTCTGAGAAGGAGCTGCCAAGAAGAGTGGAAACGGAGGCAGGAGATGGAGGCAGAGGAGGAGGGGCGGGAACCGCTCCTGGGGAGGCGAGGGGAGGGGAATGGGAGGAGGGACAGGGCGGCGAGGAGCTGGGCTTCGCCTTCGGTCTAGCGCGGTGCTCAGCGTCTGACAGGCCTCGTTCATTGCGTCCCCACTACCGCCCTCTGAGGTTCGGGCCACCGCTAACTCCCTCTCCAGACAAGGACATTGACGTTGGGGCAGGTGAAGGGATTTGTCCCGCGCCCCGGAGGACAGGGGACAGAGCCTGCATTCTAACCCAGATCAGCCACTCCGAGTTTAGGGCCCTTCGCTGCCCCTTGCTGCCCAAATGTGGCTTAGACTTAACATCAGCATTTACTAGTGTAACGCTGCTCTGCGCCTTGTTGTTTAACTCTGAGCTGCGACTGGAATTTACAAACATTGTCGGTTTGCAGCGATTTGGGGTCACGTGCAATCCTAAAGGTCCTGTGAGGGGTAAGAACCTTTTACCATTTGGTTTCTCTAATATGGGGTTTTAATTAAACAGCATTTCTGATGCGAAAAACATGGGTTCTGATGGGCCCAGAGTTGAGACTGTTTTTTGACACTTAACTAGCGGTATGAGCTTGGGCCCCTCTAAGTTTATATGATCTTATCTAGAAATCAAGGTGACATATTCTTTACTTCTCGGAGTCAGGGAAAACGCACATGACAAGTGCATAACTGAGCACCTAGCATATGGTGTTGCTCACAAAAGACAGCTCTGGTTTAATTCCCTTCCTCTCTTTCCCACGAAATGCACGGCCCCCTTCAAAAACTAAAATAAGCCAAGCAAGACAAATTTCTCTCCTGAAATAAAGCCTTAACTATTATGGCAGTGCTGCTTTTCTCCTTCCCTTCAAGACTGAATAAAAGAGAGATTTTAATAGAAAAAGGAATTACTCATTTAGAAAGGGAGACAATGGAATTCAATTAAGCTTTACAATATCTAATTTTGGAAAGACTCAGATCATTACATTTTATATCTGTCCCCACTGAACCGCGATGGGACCAGTTTTAGATTGTGCCGGCCACCTGTTGGGGGAAGAAGCTCTTGTGTCACATGCGGGTGATGGGACCCTCACACGTGTCCCTAGCTTCCTCTCGAGTCCCACGTTCCCCAGCTTAGGGAGCAGATGCTGGCCCTGGGGGTGGTGGGCGGCGCCCAGGTGGGGAGAGGGGCAGACCTTTCGGACACAAGAGGGAAGGCGAGCCGCTGGTCAGTGCCCTTCTGTAGCATTCGGCAGTGGGCAAAAAATGAGTTGCCAGGAGTGTTTGCTTCTATTTCCATTATGTTTGGAAAAGGAACTTTTTAATCTTAATATTTACAGTAACTTCCTTTCACAACACAACGTGGTCAAATTTTGACCTCATTCTACATAAATACTAATAGTTAAGATAAAGGTGTTCTGTTTTCACACAATCATTTGTCCATTAATTCAGTTTTTTTCAACAGGCACTATTCGAGTAGCTGGTGTTAGAGCTGGTTCATGGAGTGTTCATTTTACCCAGGGAAGAGAGACAACAGATACACAAGTTAAAAACAAAGTGCACTACTCATCCGTGACAGAACTCTTAGTCGTCTAGGAATAGTGGGAAGCTTCCTTAGGTTAGTAGAGAGTATCTGCAGAACAGTGGAGTAAAAGGACTTCCCTTGGGAAGAGGAGTGAATCTGCTGAAAGACCTCCCCTGAGGTCAGGGATAAGACGTGAGTGTGGCCGTCACCACTCTTAATATTGTACGAAGATCCAAGCTAGTGCAGTAGGGGAAGAAAGAGACAAAGCTCGTTGGGCTCTGAAGGAAGAAATAATCTTTTCACTATCCAAAAATCACATTTTGTATCAGTAGAAAATCCAAAGGAATCTGCAGAAAAACTATAGAATTCATAAGTCAATGTGGCAAGGTTGCTGGATACAAGATCAATACACAAAATCAGATGTACTTTTATAGACTATCTACAAAGAAATGGAAAATGAAATTAAAAATAGAACATCATTTGCTACTGCAGCTAAAAACCCACCAAGGCATACATTTAAATAAAGTTTTATTAAGTATAATTAAAGACCTAAATATGCTAAAGGATCAAAAGACTCAATATTTAAGGAAGCAATTCTCCACAAATAAATTAATAGGTGTAATGCAATCTCAAGAAAAGTTGCAGCAAGGGTCAGGGTCTTTGTAGATGTTCATAAGCTGATATCCAAAATTTACATGGAAATGCAAAGGGCCAGGAATTGCCCAGGCAACCTTGAGCCGGCTGAGCGAACTTGGAGGACTTACACTAGCAGATCCTACTGCTACTCAGAAAGGTGCAGTGCACGAGACTGTGCAATGGAGACAAACAGATCCAGTGAACAGGAGAGTCCAGAAACAGAGTCCACACGGATACGACCATCTAGTGCATGACAATGACGACACCACGGAGCAGCGGGAACAAGACGGTTTTTTCAATACCGGAGCCAATTTGATACCTTGATGGAAAAAAAATGGTATCTTGACCCCTACCCCCGACACACAGACACACACAGATACACATCAATTCCAGGTGGATTGCAGATTTATACATTTTAGAAATGTAGGAACATAATTTCATAATCTTGTGGTATGCCGAAGTGTCTTCAAAAAGAGCTGACCGTAAGGAAAAGAAAAAGATAAACTGGACCACATTAAAATAGTTTTGTTCATCAAAAAACACCATTAGGAGAGTGAAAAGACAAGTCATGGAGTAGGAGCAAGTATTTGCAATACATATCACTGATGAAGGACTCATTAAGAATGTACGAAGAATTTCTACAAATCACTAGAAAAAGTAGACAATCCAATAGAAAAAAACCCACGTGTTTCACAAAACATGATACCCAAATAGCCAATAACCACGAGGGAAGCTCAATCTCACTATTCATCAGAGAAACGCATGTTAAAGCCATTATATGATATCTCTACTTGCCCATCAGAAAGACTAAAATTAAAAAGACAAACAGTATCTAATACTGGTGACAATGTGGAGCAACAGAAACCTCATAGACTGTAGGGAAAGTAAACCAGTGCAGCCAATTTGAAAATTATCAGGCCTTTTCTATTTAAGCTGATCATGAATTCTACTCCTGTTTGATAATCAAAAGAAAAGAATAATTTTGTCCTCTGAAGGCAGGTACCAAGTCGTCTTAACATGCCTATTCAAAATAAGCCAAAGACAGGAAATAACCCAACCACCTACACTGGAAAGGAGAGTAACAGAGAAGTTTTGGTATAATCAAACACAAAGCGATGAAGATGAAAGATTACAACTGTACACAATAGTATCTGGGAACCAAAATAATGCTGAGCGAACCCAGCTGGACAGAGAAAAGTCCACGCCGTGTGATCCCTTTCACACACCCTTCCCCTCCCCGCCAGGCAAACGGGGTTCCCCCTGCGGGCCACTGCGACTGTGGGTGGGTGGGGGTGTCCTGGTGGCATCCGCTTTCCCGACCGGCATGCCGGTCACACACTGTGCACACTCGGTGAACATTCACTGAGCGCACTTACTGCTTATGCGCTTCCATAAATGTAAATTGCCGTTCAGTAGAAACGGAGAGCCGTTAGGTAATACCATGGCGAATACAGTTTCAAACCATTCACATTTTGCACAGGTTAAAAATAACATGCTCCATGGAACTGAAGGACAGGAAAAAGGTCAAGTCAGGGACAGGCAGCGGGAATGGGGGCGGAGGATGGCGAGCGCGGGGCTGGGCAGGTGTAAGGGGGTGGTCAGAGTGGGAGCCGTCAATCCCCTTTGCTTACCTGTGTGGTAGAATTTCCCTGAAAAGCCCAGGTTGAATGTAAAATTCGTGATTTGCGCCCGCAAAAGGTTCTGAGTTTCAAGCAGGGCCTGCAATACATAATTTTTAGAAATGTCTCAGGTAGAGGAGGGCACGGGGAAGCTTCAAAGATACTTTCCTTTTGCATTCAAAGGACAAGTGCACTTTCATTCCTGCGAGCCCTGAGATTACAGAAAACATCCACAGACTCACCCTTCAGCTGGCGATAAGGGTCAACTACAGGAGGACACAGGAAGTGAAAAGAAACGCTCATTCTCCACGCATCAAGGAAGCTAGCACGGGGTCCACAAGATAATCTCCTGTTACCCCTGCGGAGAGAGGTCCCCCGCTGCCCAAAGGGAGAGACAAGCTCAGTGGGAGACGCCGAGGGAGGGACTGTGAGACGCAGATGCCTAGTTCTCAGCTACGTCTTTGGTCTTCAAATTTCAAGACTTTTAATTGTTAAATCTTGCCCTTTCGTTAAAAAGCAGATCAGCAAACACACATAAAGCTGTTCATAATCAGTTTTAATTGTTATAGCCTATAAAGTATTCAGGATGCTATGAGCTGTATTTAATAAACTTCTCCTTTTCTCATTGTAATTTAAATTCCTGTTCTTCTGTGTCTTCTCTCGCTCTGCTTCCTCCCCCAGGGTAGAGAGGCAGCCGCCTCAGCCAGGCAGGGAGCAGCAGCATGAGGCAGATGGTCAGGGCTTGAGCCAGAACTTCGTGACTCAGGTGGGGACAGGGCCAACGACTTGCCTGTTTTCATAGTAAATTCGCGGCAGACCCCACATCCGGCCCATTGCTCGTCAGCTCCATTTCCCGGCCCCCGGGCGCTGCCCCCCCTGCAGTCGGCTGCCCCCCCCCCCCCCCCCCCCCCCCCGTGCCCCGGGTTCTCAGGAGCGGAGCCGCTCCTGTAAGCCTGGCCCTGCCACGGTCACGGTCGCCCTCTTTTGGGAGGGTAAGCAGACACACGGGTTTATTCAGAGGCCGTCCCGACTGTGTGACTTGTCTGTGAATGCAAGCAGTCCCACTGTTGTTCACAAGCAGAGGACAGCTTCGGAGTCTTAGGTGTACGTTCCTCTGACCAAGGGTGGGTGTTTCTGTGTCTTTCGTTATCACGACTCTGTTTACACAGGCTGCCTCCTCTGCGTGCACGAGTGAGCCATGTCACGGGTGGGTCCCCAGGGCACTCACAGACAGAGCACAGGGCAGCTGGTGGATTCCTGCCCCAGCCCCCTGCCCCCCGCCCCTTTGTAGATGGGAAAAGGCTAAAGATGGCAGTGTCCCCAAGGCAAGTGAGGCCCCGCCCGCCGCAGGGCTGGGCTGCGCAGGACGGGGAGGGCGAATGGGAGGGCAGGCTGCAGGGGTAGCCGAGGGCACGGGGAGGGAGGGCGCTGCTGGCTGGGAGCAAGGGACGGTGTGGTGGGGGACAGAACGCCAGTCGCTGTTGAAATCCTTAAAAGGGTTTCAGGTACAGGGACATGCCGACAAGGCCGAGTGGGAGGTGGAGCCCCAGCAGCCCTGTTCTCAGCGGCGCCCCACGGAAGCCGTGAGAGCGGGCACAGTGGCTGAGCCGCTGGGACGACAGGGGCGGGGTGGGGGGTGGAGGAAAGCCTTCGTGCGCGGCTCTGTGGTCTGATTTTCTCACGTGGTCCGTCACATGTCTGTGTCTTTCTCCTGGAAGCAAAACACCGCCACCTTTACCAACGAAGCGAGTCCAGCGCGGATGGGCGAGGGTGGAAGGCTGGACGCAGTCGAGCCCACAACACAGAGGTGCTGTGTTTTCCACCCCCTTCTCGCCCTGCGCGCCGCTGTGCTGCGCTCGCTTTCCAGGCATCTATTCCTTCCAGGGCCTGTGTGACTGCATTCGCGTACAGCACCGGCCCCTTCCCATTAGGGCTTCCTCCTCTTCACATCTGCTTAAAGAGCATGCACGGATTCTGAATGTCTTCAGGCAGTTCTGAGACTTGTCTGAACTCTTCCAGTAGACTTTTCTTTCTTTCTTGTGTTTTTTTTTTTTTTTTGAGTTTTCTTAATGTGGTGAATTCGGAGCTAGAAACACTTGATATGGTTCACTACTCTCAATGAAGATTTGACAAACTATAGAATCAATCCTGTATCAAATCGACAGCAAATTTTAGTGTTAAGAAGGAATCATTATTTTTTCTAGCATGGTTTTTACATGAGTTTCCTTAAAGAATGTAAAATCAATTTTATGTGCAGAGTTGGTTCAAAAGAAAATTCTTATGAAACAAAGTAAAAAAGAAAAGCATGTTGTCACATTTTGGTGTAGCATTGAGTATCTTCTAAACTTAAAATTAAGTTTGTATGATTTATCTGAATGAGGGTATGTTTTTATGATTTCAGCCTTGTCCTAATTTACTTTTATAATTTGTTTAATTCAATGGCTCCTGAAAAAGCTAACATAACCCAGACACGGTTCTGCTGGCATTTCTCAGAGATTTCTTAGTTTTCTTTAGGTTCCTGAGAGAGATTTGGAAACCACCAAAATAGGAATCATATATTCCCAAGGTGTGGGAAAACCCTGACTCGTCAGATTGACCTGTGGACCTATAGGCAGTGGCACAAAAGGTGGCATTGGGACCACAGGTACAACTCAAAGCGAGCATGTTGTCTCTGTCGCCGTCCCCAAAGACAGACAGGTGGCAGAGGGAAGCGGGCTGAACGGTTCAAGTGCAAAGGGCAGAGCCGGACCTGAGTCAGACGGGGCGCGGCTCCCGCTCCTCGTTCCGCAGCCCTGGGGCCCTGGGAGGTGTCTGAGCCTCGGTCCCAGCCTCTCCTCTTATTAAAAAATCGCCGCCGCCTCTGTGAGAGTGCTGTGAAGAACGACTGCAGTCCACAGAAGCCCCACCTCAAAGGACCCACGTAAAAACCCCAGCGGGTCTCCAGGAGCATTGCTTTCTTGACCTCCGCCCTTCCTGATAAGCGCTTCTGTCACACAGGGGCCGGCCAGGCCCCCGCAGGACAGGGGCGCTTGGGTCCGCTGGTGCCGTGCAAGGGGGCGCTGCCGGTGGCTCTCAGCCAAGGGAACGGAACGTGCGGTTCACTCCCACGAAAGCTAGCAGTTAGTGAGCGGTGGGCGCTTTGTGTTTACCAGGCTCTACGCTAAGCATGGACGATCTCGTTTTACCAATTCAGCAACTCACTGTGGTTGGATTCACTTTACGTATGAGGAAACTGAGGCACAGAGAGGGTAAGTAAATTGAGCAGAATTTAAAAGTGGAATTTTAATTTAGTTTAAAAAAGGAACACGGGGTGTTCCTTTGCAGAAGGACTATATGATTTTGGGATTACATGTTCATAGTGCTAAATCCATATTAACTTTAGAAGCATGTATTGGAAATATTAATGAGTGTGCATGAAGAGAGGCTTTTGTGGTGTGAGAAGACGGTCTCCAGGGTACGCTTGTCTCTCTGTGTCCTGTGACTTGCCTTTGCTTTGTTCTGTGTCTCCAAAGTGTGCATGGAGCCAGCAGTCTTGTCAGACAGAGACAGCGTCCTCCTGCCTAGCAAGGAGCGCGTTTGCTTACTTCTTAGTATGAAAAGGACCATGTCTCACCCTGGGGTGAAGGTCACGCAGGTCGAATGCCCATTGTAAATGGTGCGGGGTCTCTGAGGTTAGCGTTTGTCCCATAAAGGGACCCACTGCACGTGTGGGTGTCTGTCCTCTGAAGTCTTCACATCACCCTGTGGGAGCGGGGATGTGGAGAAGCAACTCCAGGGTGGACGTTCTGGCCACTGCAGCTGCGTGGCACCTTCTGTCCGCGTCCGGAAACTGGGGCAGGCTGGCTCATTATCTTGCAAGTGGGATGAAATCCCAGGCCCTTCCTGGTTCTCGACAGAGGAAAACTACAACATCCACCGGCCACTGAAGTCCAGTTTAGTGCTCTCGGAGCAAATGCCCCAGGGTGCAGGGGAGACAGGCAACCATCCCACGGGCTGTGCCCTGATGGACGAGGGTTGGCGGGGGGAGGGCCCTGGCACAGGGACCTGCGTGTGCCTGCGAAACTCAAGCGGGCGGCGAGGCCCCGCGCCGGGCGCCTGGCTGGAAGTGGTGTTCCAAGGCAAGTGCGCTGCGCTCGCGCTCGGGAGGTTTGCTCCCGGCTGGGGAACGAGCATCCGCACTAGATTTCCGAGCGCTGTGAAATTCTTCCGCAGCTCCCCGCTGCGGGACGTTTCCGGTCTGTATTCTCGGAAGCCGTTAATCTGGTGTGCAACTTTACGCAATGCTCTATCCGGCCAACTGAGCAGAGGACGATGGGTTAATTTGCTGGGAGGTATAATTCACAGTTAATACGTGGCAGTGAGTGCCAGTGAGTGAAGAAACAGTAGCTTCATAGGGAGGCAGCAAAGAGGCATTTGTCCCCTTTAAATACATTTAATTCGCACAGCTCCTCCCTGGGGGCCAGGAAGGAAGGGAATGGCCCTTCCCTAGGGCTCTTGCCAACTCTGCCTGAAAGCAAGAAATCAGCACACGTGTAACAGATCCCTTCTGCTACCTGTGGGAGATCTTGTCGCACCTGTATTTTAATTTATAAATGAGCATATTTACTTACGTAAAGCTAAAGAGCACATTTTATAACTCCATGTACTCTAACACCTGCAGATAACACACACATGCTCTAGCACTCCCACTGCATTAAAAAATACACTGAATTTTACATGTACAGGATGGTGCTGTGTACTGAGAATAGGATGCATAAGTGCAAAAGCCCTTCCCCAAGATGCGGTGTTGCACATAAGAGGGCAAAGGAAACCCCCACGTCGGTACCCAGCTCGTGCCAGGCACACCCTCCTTTAGGCTTCGTGAGGCAGGTATTGTCCTCCTCACTAGTTTAAGGAAAAAAATAAGTAACTGGGGTGAATCTGAGATTTGAGCACAAGTTTTTTCTCAAGTCCAAAACTCATTATCTCTTTACTTTACATCTGTTCCTTGCGCAGAAGAAAAAGACAGTGTTCTGGGCCAATGTGCTCATTGACAAGCCTGGATTCACTTTTGGTTTCCCAAAGGGGTCACATTTTTTTTTCCAACGAAATGGATTTAGTTAACTTTCTTCCTTAGAGCAAAAGCAGTCACGGCCTCAGTAACTATGGTAATTATTCCTGTGGCGCCATGGAAAAGACAAATGATCCCCTGTAATCTCTTTAAATAACTAGCCCAGCGGACAGTACTGAGAGAGCCTATGTTTGGTCCTCGGTGGCAGGGACACTGAAAAAGCCCGCCAGACCCTGAGCGCGGGAGGCGGCCCCTGCTGGGAGGGCGCCTGCGCAGTCCGAACAGTCTGAAACGGAGGGCGGCGGACCGGACCGGAGCGGCAGCAGGCGGGTGTCCCTGGGCTGATCGAGGAACAGGGGGCGCCCTGAAGGGGGAGCGTGAGAGGACGGCAGCGCTCGGGCTCTCGGCGAGTCTGTGGCACCTGGTCTGCCTGAGCCACGGCCTTGGGCCGAGGGCGGGGCTGGCGCTCCCTCTCCCTCCGAGGTCCTGTCCTGGAGGCCCTCCCGGCGCCAGGGCTTCAATGCTGACAGTGGCCGCTGGCGGGCTCCCGGCTCCTGCCTGCGCTCCGCGTCTCCCCGAACCCCAGACGAGCAGACTCTGCCGCTGCGTGTCTCCGCGGGGACGGCTAGCGGACAGCCTCACCTTCAGTCCAGAAGGCCTCCTGGCTTTTCCCTTACTGATACCTGACACCACGAGACACGCAGCGTCCTAACCACTCTGCGCGCATTGTGTCATGGACTCCTCAGGGCCCACGGGTGAGCTAGGTGTTAGGGTGGTTCTCCCTGCACGTCAAAGGGAACTGAGGCACAGAGACGAAGCTGCGTGGCCGAGGCGGGCCAGCGACACAGGCGGGGTGCACGTCAGCCGGCGTCCGCAGAGCCCGCACTCCTGGCCCTGCACCAGCTCCTCTTCTAGCCGTGGCCCTGCCCCAGGGAGCGCCCCGCTGTCGGCCAGGGTCTCCCCTTTCCTGAAGCTCCCCACCTGCCGTCCATTAGCAAGTCCCTCGGCTCACCCCCAACACCCGCCTGGGCCCTGTCACCTTCTCCCCGTCTCCCTCACCGCCACTGCCCCTCGCCTGGCCTGCGATGGCCGCTTGCCTGGGGTCTCACCGCCTCTCAGTTTTCTCCATCGTCCATTCTCCATGTGATGGTCAGTAGGACTTTTTTTTTAAAACCTACGTTAGCCCTTATGACCTTGCCGATGACCTTCTAAGGCTTCTTCCTAAAATTAGGGCGAAATCCAGGGCCAACCAGGCTCCCCATAACGTAGCCCCGGGCTGCCTTTCCCCTAACGCTGCCCCAGGCTCCTTCCCGCCACAATGCTCCAGTCACACCGGCCTCCGTGGCCACCCGGAGCTGGTTCCAGGTATGCAGGGCTCTGTCCCCCCGGGCCTTTGTGGTCACGCAGGCTCGACTCTTCTTCAGGCCTTAGCTCAGATGTCACGTCTGAGAGGATCTCCCTCTCCAGCTGCTCACACCACCGAGTCCCACGCCCGCCCCCAGCACCGCCCACCACGCTCCCCCCTCTCATCTCTGCCCCGAGAGCCTTCGCTTTGCTCCCTGGTTCACGGCCTGGCCTTGCTCACAGAGAGGAAGGTGCACGCAGGCAGCCGGCACCCCCACCTCGGCCTCCGGGCCTCGCCCGCTGCTCACGGAGCGCCTGGTGCAGGGAAGACGTGGTCTCCCTTTCTTCTCACTGCGTTCGTACCCTTAAGGTATTTAGAGGAACCGGTTTCATCGCTGCTCAGACAGTCCCGCCCAGTGCATGATGCGTCCGTAGTAAGTAGTGGCTCACATTTAGCGAGGGCTGCTGGGACCCGGCCATTGGTGAACATGATCGTCCTCCCAGGTGACACCCCTGCCGTAACGTGGGCATTGGCCCCATCGCAACGGTGGACACCGGTGGTGAGGACGGCGGAGGAACTTGCCCGGGGCTCTCGGCTAGGAAAGGGCAGGGCTGCGGTTTCCCCGCAGGGCCCGGCTTCAGCTGCCCAGCCCTTGTCAGCGAGGATGTTGGCGCAGCTATGCAGCTGGCAAGGAGAAGCAGCGAATCCGCTGGATGGGCTAGAAAGAGCTTTTCAGTCTACACAAATGCGAGAGCCTAGAGGGGGACGGCGGTGGGCTCCACGGCGCTCGCTGGGACTGAGAGCTGGTGTGGCCGCCGTGGAGCACAGTCTGCAGGCTCCTTAAAAATGAAGACTGTAGTTGCCGTGTGACCCAGCAACTCCACCTCCGGGTATCTACCCAAAACACTCAGAAACATTCATTCACAAAGACATATGCACCCCTGTGGTCACTGCGGCATTATTCACGGTGGCCGACGCGTGGAGACAACCGAAGTGTCCTTCAGTGGAGGACTGGATAAGGAAGGTGAGGTGCATGTGTACTATACAATACTACTCAGCCGAGATACCGCCGTTTGCGACGGCATGGATGGACCCTGAGAATAGCATGCTAAGCAAAATAAGTCAGATAGAAAAAGCTAAGAACCACATGATATCACTCATGTGGGATATAAAACTGAAAGCAACAAATGAACAAACAACACAAACGAAAGCTCATAGACACAGCAGTGCAGTGATTCCCAGAGGGAAGGGGGTGGGGAGCAGTAAAGGGTAAAGAGGGTCAAACATACGGTGACGGAGGATTTGACTTTGGGCGGTGAGCACACAATGCAATGTACAGATCATGTATCTCAGAAATGCACACTTGAATCCTACGTGATCTTATTAACCGATGTCACCCCAATAAATTTAATGAAAACATAAATAAGTAAAAAATAATAAATCAAAGTCATTTGATTTCAAATGGACTAAAGGCTTAGATCAGCTGTAGTTCCTAAAGCAGACAGCCTCTGGAGAGTAACCAAAACGGCTTCTGCTCTGTAGCTTTGTTTCAGGGTCCTGCTATGATCAGTCCTTTCAAACAGTCCTCACTTTTCTTGACTCAGACAGAAATATATTCTCTACCTTGTTTTTCCAGGGTTGGGAGATAGGGAGGCCAACGGGCCCCAGTTGGTGGGAAATTCTCCTGATATACTTGAAGGCCCACCTTCGGGAAGTGGGGGGCCATGGGCATGTCTCCCGAGAGAGGAAGTAAACGCGGGGACTTTCAGCGACCAGAGCCTTACCTGGACATCATCAGCGTTCATGCGGGTGCCCTCCTTCCCCACAAAGATGTCGTCGATGTCCACGAGGATGTACCTGTCCAGGGACAAGGCCAGCCTCTTCCCCGACAGGAAGGAGATGGCGTCGATGAAGATGAGCTTGTGCAGCCAGAAGTTCAAGTTGTTGCCAAAGAGCACGCGCTGGATGCCGTCCTGCAGCCCCAGGTCGTGGACGACCGTGGCGTAAAGGGCGCCCTTGGGGGCGGCAGGAGAAGCGTCTTCCGGCGTCTTTGCTCTGGCGAGTACTACTGGTTCGTAAGCTGCGTGATTGACCTGGAAAACGGTCCAGTCGGCTCCAGGTAAAGAGCCCCTTTGGAGCTTCGCAGCCCTGGTCACATGCAGCAGCGGAGAGCGGGGGTTGACGCAGCCGTCTTCCACGGCCAGGCGCCCGCGCGCGGAGAGGGGGAGGCCTCCCCACGGAAGGCGCTGTGGGCTCCGGTCGCCGCTCCTGTGGAACCCTATGACGCCCACGCTGTATTCCGCGCAGTATTTATCCAGGAGGCTCCGGTTCCAGGAGTCCAGGTGTATATACTTTAAAATATTCTCATAAATGATGAGGACATACTTGCCCTTCATTTTCTCTGTGAGTGCGGGGAGGTCCCCCTTCCCGGGAGCAATTTCCATGTGGTACTGGAACCGGCCCGATTCCAGGATCGTCACAATGTCCTGGCCGAGGGGCGAGTACTGGCTCTCCACGAACACCAGGACCGTGGGGTCTGTCCTCGCGGCCTCCACGTGCGGCCTGGCCTCCACGTCCCTCAGCCGGCGGGGCGGGTGCTGGAGGCCCTCACAGTCTGCCTCGGGAGCCACCTCCAGGGGCCCCCCCTGCTGTCTGTAGCCAGTGTACAGGTAGTAGGCAGAGATGGCAATGCTCGCCGTGCAGAATGTCGCCAGCAGGATGACCACCCTCCGGAAGCGCCTGTGAAGCTGCATGACCAAACTTGGGCCGTGGGTGCGTCCCTCGGGCTGTTCCAGCAGAACCACCGGGAGCAGGCCCGGGGCCGGGGAGGAAAGGATAGCGCTGGCTGCTTCTCTCGCGTCAGCCACTGCTCACGTCACCATCGCCGCTCCTGGGCATGGCGGGCGCGGGGCTCACCGAAGACACAGGCTGAGAATCGGGAAACAGAGAACACAACAGAAGCCAGTTGGTTTGTGGCATGAAATCGAGCAGGTTTTTATCCTGTTGGCTGGCGCAGTTGTGCGTTAAGTAAGAAGCCTTCCTGTCTCCCAGGTCTGGATGGGACATGGGAATGCAGCGCAAGGCAAAGGCCCGGGGACCAGAGGCTGTCCCGCCCTGGGACAGCGCAGACACAGGGTGGACTGGGAGTTTCCTGTCCCCACTGAGCTCCGCCCTGAACGCCGTGGGTGACACGGACCCGAGACCACAGAGCTCCCTGCCGCGCTTGGTCGTGCCCTGCAATGCCATCGCAGGCTGTCTGTGTTTTGGTACGTGTGCTGCAAAATTATGAACATTTGCACACAATTCATTAAATGCTACAGTTAACACACTAGTTTCTTTTTAATCTGAAAAGTTATTGATATGATGAATTTTGACATTCCATGTACATCTCAAATCTATGAGATAAATAATCCTATCCTAGTTGTTTTTGTGAAAATAGCGCTGTAAAACCGCAGAGAAGGTCTCCCATTCCAAATGACCATTTCAGAGCTGTGTGCTTACAGAGGTCCATTTTTCAAAAATGTGTGCAGCAGTTTGTTGAGATGAACGCGAGGAGGGAGATCCTGCCTGAGGCTCCTGTGGTGTGAGGGCACATGCTTCTGGGAGGAAACACTGACCGATGAGCTCATTTTCTGCACTGTTCTCTTTCTACTTTTTGTAAAAGAGTTCAGTGAATTTGTGAAAAATACTTAGAAACTATAGCAGGTCCTTGAATAATGTCATTTTGTTCAATATCATTTTGTTACAAAAAATTTGAGAAAAAATTTTTTCATTCCTCACTGGGTCCACTGTCTGTGTGGAGTTTGCATGCTCTCCCCACGTCCACGTGGGTTTTCCCAGGGACTCCCGTTTCCTCCTGCACTCAGAGCTGTGCATGCGAGGCCAAGGGCGTGGCTGCCTTGTGCCCGTCTCAGTGCGGCTGGACGGCTGGGCGCAGCCCGGCCTGCAAGGGTGGTGGTCCAGGTCCAGGGTGGGCCCTGCCTGCGCCCTGAGCTGATGGGATGATCTGCTCCAGCCCTGAGCTGAGCTGTGGGGGCGGGCTCCCCGGGGACCCGGAACTGGACTCATCAGTGGGAACATAATGATCTGACTTACTTTTATTCATCTCTCTAAAATGACTCTATAGCTCACATTTGTTTTCATCTTTCAATTTGGAAGTGGTTTTGGGTCTTTATTTAGAAGTTTGGCGATGTTTTTGGCAAGAAATATGCAGTAGGAACTTAGCTCTAGTTCCTATCAATTAGCCTCTGGTCATATTGGCTTTGTTATACTGTCACGTGCTGCTTCACGATGAGGATTTGTTCTTAAGAATGTGTCACTGGGAGATTTTGCTGCCGTGCGGACATCGCAGAGTGCACTTACAGACGCGGATGGCACCGCCCACTGCTGTGGCTGCGTGTGCTAGGCTTCCGTACAGTGGCAGCGCAGTCGGCTCGCTTACACCTCCACGACCACAGACATGTGAGGCATGCACTATGACAGTAGGATGGCTATGATGTCACTAGCAGATGGGACTTTTTCCGCTCCGTTATCTTACGGGACCGCTGTTGTATATGATCAGGTCCATCGCTGACCACACTGCATTATGTGATGCATGACTGTACAGTGTTTCTCTTAAAGTCAAGGTTTCCAAGAACCTACAGGTGATGCCAAATAAGGACTTACTGTACCGAAAAAAAAAAAAAGACAATGAAGATGATGGGAACTTCATGAAACACCTTGTTATGCTATAATTTCAAATACTTTTCAAGTTGCAGTAACCTTTGAGAATTTAGTAACTTTTGAAAAATAATAAAAAAGAAACATGGGTGCTTTTTATAGCTTAAGATTATTCGAGTGTTACGGTCCTGGTACTTCGCAAGAAAATATCACAGAACATAAAAAAAAAACCTTAAGAAAGGTCTTATCCTTATCTGTAGGCAGGACGAGAGCTGGGACAGGCCCGGGGAGAGGACCGCGTCTGATCCTGTCCTTTGGGTCAGGGGTCGTGACACCTCTGTCTCCCACCAGGCTATCCCTTTGGCCCTGGACTCGCTAAGTAAAATGATGAGGTTAGAAAAATGATCACTAAGAACATCCTGGCTCTAAAATTCTGTGATACCACCTATGAAATAAGCTGTGAAAAATGTTTTGAATAATAGGTGTTTATGAATAACATAGTATTATGGGCATAACTGCAGGATATATACAGGATAAATATGTCATTTATCCTTTAAGTTATATAGTGTAGTTTATTCATTTAAATATTTAGGGTATCTATGTCATTATTCAAACATTCATAAGGTAATTATATTTCTATTAAAACATAAATGTTCAGCAGAGAGGATATCTTTAAAAGACCCACAGTTATAGACACAGTGACTAGAATGACGGCCATTAGCATACAGGCTGCTGATCGGAGACGAACGACTATAACGGGATGAGAGAAGAAAGAGACCGAGGTGAGTGGCAGACTCTGCGGCGGCCTGGGCGGGGGTCCGGGCAGGTGCTTGAGGGATGAGGCAATTCGGGCAGGCATCTGGGACAGAGGAAGCTTTGCAGAGACGGGGCGAGCACGGTGCTGTGCAGGGACACTCTGACAGAGAGTGGAAGGGAGAGTGAGGAGCACGTAAAACATGAATTCTATAAATAATGGGGAACTCAGGTTCCCGAGAAATTTGATAGCACAGAAAGTCGTGGTTGTGACGCCCACAGGGCCCCACGGCACTTTCCCGATCGGGGGAGCAACACGAGGAGGGCAGGCTTTTCCGGAAGAGGAACGAATGAACGACGTGGAAGATACGTGCTCTGCACACGCTGCGGGCAGGAGCAGCGCTGGAGGGTCGGCCTGGGAGCCGGCGCGGGCTGACGGTTCATGGCGCAGTCGTGTACCGATAGGCTCGGCAGGCCAGGAGAGCGCGGGGAAGCGACAAGGCCAGGCAGGGAGGAGGCGGGCCGGGCACAAGGGAGGCCGGGGGGTGCCCCACCCCTCTGCCGAGCCTGGTGCTGCCGACCGGTCCGCCAGGCTCTGAGATAAACCCAAGGGGAAGGCTGGCATTCCACCCTTGTACACACCCAGCACAGATCGAGGTGTCATTTAAGCAAATCAGACCACCAGAACAGCTGGGAGCTTTCACTGCAACGGTAGTTATTTCATTCGGAAAACTAATGGCACCGTAAAAGTTATGTTCATGTTTATGAGTAATAATCTGGAGGGTAATAGCAGGACACAGACTGTCACATGGCTCTGTGCCGTCCGGTTTGAGCTGTGAAGCGTGAGCCACAGCGCTCAGCGGTTGCCCCGAAACGTGGTCAAGCTGGACAGCCGGCGTGGAAGGCACCGCACACCGGGGGCAGCACCTGCCCCGCACCCCTTCCACGCTGGGAACGTGCAGGCAGCACGGACATCAGGCGGACGGACGTCTCCTTTCAGTGCTGCGGCTTCTTCACATGAACACAGCACTCGTGCTGCCTGCTTCACAGGGCCTTCAGGAGGCTCATGAGGGGAATGAGGTGAAGCTCCTAGAAAAGTGCCTGGCCCATGCACTGTCGCCTGCCGGGATGACGAGGATGACTCCTGTACAGATAGCGTGAATGAGAGCCCTGCCCTGAGGTCGCCGATGACGGAGCAGCAGAGGGCCACAGGACGGCTGCGAGCGGTGCGGGGCGGGTGGGGTTGCGGGGTACAGACGCCCACACTGAGGCAGGGACCTGGAGCCCGTGGTCCCAGGCAGAGCGAGAGGCCCCGTGGGAGGCCTGGCCGCGCCCAGCTGCAGGGCCCTCCCCAGGGGCTCACGCGCTCCCTGGCCTTCGTCCCCGCCTGTGCTCTGGGAAGTCCAGATGTTAACTTGTGACCCTGAGCCCTCCAGCCCCAGGATTCCAACTGGAGTATCGGTGCGATTGGATGACAAGAACACAGTGACTGAGCCCCGCCTGCGCCCCCACTGCCGTCCCGTGCCGGGCACACTCAGCCGGCCGGGGCGCTGGGCATGGCCTTCCCTCTCCACCCCGTCCCGCCCCACAGCCCCCAACGCCTCCCCGGCAGGCCCCCCTCCTCCCTCCCGCACTAAGGAAAGGCACACCCTCTCGTTCCCACTGTCCGAGCTCCCCTGACCCCAGGTGCCCATCTCCCCCGCCACAGCACGGCCCGGTCACCCGAGCTGCTGCCACAGGTGCCCTCGCCCTCGACGCCCAGGCTCCCTCCGCCCACGTGCGATCCGGCCGCCCCTCCCCAGCTGGAGGCCCAGCGATGCCTGCCAGGTGCCCGTCTGGACTGAAGCCCGAGGCCCTGTGCCTGCCCTGCAGTGAGCTGGGTGTCCCTCTCGTCCCTCTCAGGCCCGACTCCTGAGTGACCCCGCCCAGCTCGGTCCCCACGAGAGGCGGGGCCTTCTCTCGTGCTGCTCTTTTGTTGGGAAGTCTCTCCCCACTTCTCTGGCTTCATCCAGCTTCATCCTCTGAATCCTATGGCCTAAGCATTAGTGTCCCCGCCTCATCAAAGCCCCCCGGGTCCCCGGGTTGGTCAGGTCTGCCCGTCACACACATCACCATCTGCCTCACCTCCGTGGCATGTCCCACAGTTAGGACCAACCGCGTGAGGTTTTTCTGTAGATGGGAAGCACCTGTGGGCTCCTGCCTGCCCGACCTCTACAGTCTCAGTGTCCACAGCCCTTAACGAGCACCCCGCCTGCTAATGAAGTGAAGGAACTCTGCTGAATTTCACCAGGAGCAGCTGTGATCGAAACCTGGAGCCGTTGTGAAGAACACCCGTCGTCCCCGAGCAGACAGCCCATCAGCCACATTGGCCTCAAACAGCCCGGGCGGTCACACGAGCCAGCGAGTGGCGGGGCCGCCGGCCCACAGCCGTCCGTCAGGCACACCCGCAGCGTCCTCCTCGTTCCGAGGCCTGCCTGTCCCATGCCGACGTCTTTCAGGATGCATCGCGGCTGGAGTCGTTTCGCCGTGCATCTGTTCTTAACGAGGAAAACACTTGTTTTCCACCAAGGAAACAGCCTTTATGGCGTGATCTACCATTAGCAGAAGGCAGGCGGAGCAATTTATTTTTGGAATTGCAGGCCATGCCATATACACATGGAGAGCCGAACATACACAAACACATTTTGCAACGTACTGAAATATCATAAGAGGAAGCTCCAACTTGTCGCTGTGACCGATCCTTTCTCTCCCACCAACACCCACCATCTTCCAAAAGTAAAAATCATTTTCTAAGTGAAACAGAATCATGTTGAAGTTGGCAGTACAAGAAATGTGAAAAAAAAAAAAAAAAAGAAGATTTCCATCTGGAAAATGAGTATTAATAACCAAAGAACTTCAGGTTCTAACATAAATGAAGGATATTTTAAAGGCCTCGACAATATTCCTCTTTCACAAAATTAACTATTTTATAGTGTCGAAAAATGCATTGGGAGGCATCAAATACATAACATGAATTTGCTAAAAGTACCTTTTAGTAGTATTAAAAAGGGACAAAGAACATGCTTTTCTCGGAGAGAATGTGTGAAATGTGTCACGGCGATCGAACCCCGCTGCAGTAGGCGAGAGAAATGCTGACTTGCATGGGGCGCGGCCGCGGATACACCCCGACTGGAGCCGGGAGCGTTTCAGGGTGGACGAGAGACAGGCTGCGCCGGGGGCACTCGCTTTCTTTGATGGGAAGTGACATTACATTGTGATTTCCCCTCCTCCTCTGTATTTGGAGACCCTGAGGAATGCGTTTTGTTCATGTCCCGTGTCCCGCCATCCAGGGCGGCAGTCGCACCTCTCCCAGGGCCCCTAGGGCTGGGTGGGGATGTGTATCCCTGGTATCAGGGCGTCATGGCCGCAGTGGCTTTCAGGATGAAATCTGACCTTGTCATGTTACCTTGTTCAGAGTTGGGGAACCAGAGAGGACTCGCTCAGTGCCCCCCCGCCCCCCCGCCCCGCCACCGTATGCCGGGCCCGCGCAACATGAAGCTCCGGGCCGGCTGCGATGCGCCTCAGGGCGGGCCACACAGACCGCAGAGCAGAGGCAGCCAGGGCGCAGGGAGGGTGCCACACGAAGGGCAGGAGGGGCCACGGGCCACCCCCGGGGCCGGGTCCACGCTCAGTGCCACGGATGCGTCCACGGAGAAGCCAGCCTCACCCACCCTGTGGCCCTGCCCACCCTTTAGAGCCAGCGACAACCCAATTGGGGTAGCGAGAGAGAAGGAAAAAGCCCCCTGAGCCAGACCGTCCCCCTCCCCCAGGGGCCTGGCACCGTGCCGGTGTGGGAAGCTGCCCTTGATTATTTCACATGCGGGCACAGTGGTGACGGTTACCGGAATGGTCTGTGAAGTGCCTCTGTCCTATCATATCAAGACGCATCTCAAGCACAAATATCTGAAAGCTTCAAGTGAGACAATGTAACATTGACACGCACCCCATGACGATGTTTGGTCAACGATGGACCGCGTGTGCGACGGTGGTCCCACAAGACTGTGAGGGAGCTGAGAACCCCCATCGCCGAGAGGCATCGCGGCTGTTGTAACGTCAGCACACGCGTCGCTGGCGTGTCGGTGGTGACGCAGGAGCAAACAGGCCTGCCGCGCTGCCCGCCCGGCAACAGCACGGCCCATGCAGCGTGGTGCCGCACAGACACTTGCTGGCGGCCTCCCACGCCTGAGTCACCAGTTTGCGCGCTTGCTGGACTCCACTTCCATCGTCACTTTAGGGCGTCCTCTTTCTACCTGTAACCCCAGTCTGCTGCGGAGCGGCAGCCGAATGGCCCCAGCAGCAGCCTGGGCTGTCCCTGTGCCCCGTGCCCCTGGGCGGCGGCGTTTTCTCTAGAACTGGAATGACCGCCATGCTGTTTTGCTATCGTTCCCCTAAGCAAACAAACCCACTGTTGCTGTTGCCAGTCAGAGGCCCCGTCGAGGGACTGACCCAGAAATAAGCACAAAGCATTGGTTCCTGCTCAGTCAGGCACGTCCCCTGCTCACAGGGCTGCGGTCGTGAAGGACAGGAGCTAATGGACAGGAGCGGCCCAAGGGCCGGCCTCCCTGAGAGAACGGGACTCGCGCAGACTCCAGAAGGGTTGGTGTCAGCTGCGGAGGAACGTCTGCTGGCCCGGAGGGAAGACCGGAGGGGAAGAGAAGCGTGTCCCCCGCAGCACCAGAGGCCTGCGGCCGAAGAAGCAGCTTGTTGCAGGTGTTGACAGGAGAGGCCAGGCCCGACACCGAGGGCGCGTTTACTGCTGGTTCTGGGAGGGGGCTGGGGACGGGTGTAAGGGATTCTTCCCAAAGCGTGGAAGTGGGTGCGGGTAGAGGCCGCTGAAGCATTTTTGGGTTCGCTGTCTGTGGAGGGCAATTCCTGGCCGGAGCAAACAGTCCATGTGGAGGGAGCCTCCCTACTCTGGACACACGCCTGGGGCGCTCATCTCCACGCCAGGTCCCAAGGCTTTGAAGGACGCGATACCGGTCTTGCCCGGCGACGCCGCTCAGGCTATACCCTCAACCCCTGTGAACTGGCGCAGTGGGGAGCGTGGGCCTCCTGCGCGTCGGGGTGCGGGGGCCGCCTGTGAGCCGCGGGGCAGGGCGCAGTCACGGGGCCCCGCTCCCCCCCCGCGCACCCTCCGGAACTGCTGTGGCAGTGAGGCGCAGAAGGGCCCTCGGAGAAGAACGGGCCTTTTGAGATTTTGCTTCTGGCTGACAAGGCTCCCGGACAGCCTCCTTCTATTGGTGGTGTCCGTCCCAATGGAAAGCGGTATTTCTCCCTCCAAATACTGCCTCTCTGACCCAAGCAACGCATCAAGGGCTTCCAGTGGCGCTTACGGCTGCCGGCTGCCGCAGCTGGGGAAGAGCTGATTCTGGAAGGATGACACGTCTCTGCCACGACCGCATCGGGGACCTTGCTTGGGCTTGGGGTGGTGTGACCGAGGACTGTGTGAACGGTCTTTGGAGGAAGGTGCGCAGGACGTTTGCCCAGGACTTCAGAGGACTTGCTAAGGATGAGCAGGGGGCAAAACCCATAGGGCTGGGGTGAGGGGCGCGGATGGTGAGCAACTCAAGTCAATGGGTGAGGCTGAGGAAGACATTGAGGGGCTCCCGGGGGCGGCTCCTAAGGAGCTGACTAATGAGGACGTGGAGCTGGGATACAAGAGAAGATAGGGCTGGGGTGGGAGCTGAAGAGGCAAGAGAAAGGGAAGCTGCAGGAGAACAAATGAGGAGGGGGAGGGGGAGGGGGAGGGGGAGGAGGGGGTGGGGGGGAGAAGGAGGAGGAGGAGCCGCCTCATGAAAATTCATAGTGAAGGGCTTAGCAGAAGCTTTTGCAGACCTCCACTAGCTCCTTGAAGAGCCTGCAAACGTGGACCCCCAATGCCGAAAGGTCTCCGTGAGCACAGAGAAATGTTCACGGTGCACTGTAGCTCACAAGCAAATCTATGGTGAAAAAAGAAAGAAGCCAAACAAACCTCTATGGGCACCTTTCTGAGGAGAGGGAGGCCTCCTCAGGACGAGCCCCTGGCAGCCCCTCCGGGGTGTTGCGGAGAAGGCCCGTGGTCCCGGGAGATGGCAGCTCCACGTGTGTTGCTGCCCCTGAGTGCCTTCCGGGGGCGCGGGCGGTGCACAGTGTGGTGGTGGGGGGGCACAGGAAGATCGCCCTGACCCTGAGCCTCGTGTGTGTGTTTGCCTCTTACTTTTAAAAAAAGTTTAGAAAGTTAAAAACAAATTAAATAAAAAAAGCTTATAGAATAAGGCTGTAAAGAAAAAATATTTTTGTACAGCTGTACAATGTGTTCATGTATTGAGCTAAGTGTTATTACAAAAGTCAAAAAGCTTCTAAAAACTTAAAAATTTATAAAGTTAAAAAGTTATAGTAAGCTAATTTATTATTGAAGAAAAATACTTTAAACATAAATGTAGTGCAGCCTAAGTGCACAGCGCCTATAAAGCCCACACGCGTGCGCAGCAGCATCCTGGCCTTCACATCACTCGCCCTCACCCCCCCCCCCGCCTGAGCGGCTTCCGGCCCTGCAGGCTCCACTCATCTTGAGTGCTTTGTGCAGGGTAGCTTTTCTGTCTTTGATATGGCAACTCTTACTGTAATTTTTCTATGCTCAGACATATTTAGATACACAAATAGTAACTGCTGTGCTACAGTTGCCTGCAGCACGCAGCGCACAGCGCAGTGACGTGCGGCACAGGGTCGTAGGCCGGGGCAGTGGCTACACAGTACAGCCGGGTGCACACTGGGCTGGACCGTCCGGTTTGTGTGTGTGGCTCTGGGAGTTTCACACAATGAGAAAGGTGCCTGATGACATGCATTTCTGAGACACCATCCCTGTCGCTAAGCCACACATGACTGTGTAGTCAAGGCCAAGGGCATTGAAGCCAGACTCAGGTTGCATCCCAGCTTTACCACCTGCCAGGAACGTGGCCTTCGGCAGCTAGGGGACATCTTGGTGCTTCCATTTTCTCTTTGTGAAGATCACATGAGCAAAAATTAATACATAAAGTGCTTAGACCAGTGCCTGGGTAGGTGACCACCCACGCTATGGGGTGTTGACTATTATCTCTGAAACCTCTGTGCCTACTAGTAAGAATGAAGACAGCAGCATTTATGAACAAGTTCAGTTGTGTACTACCCTGTAATTTTTTCTTGTCCTCTTCCCCAGGGCAATTCCCACAGCAAGGGTAGGGAAGGGCCTTCGAGCCCCTCATTGCTGGGGCGGGCTGAGGCCCCGGGCCAGCAGCCGCCCAGGCTGCGTCTACAACAGGCCTCGCATCCGGTTCAAGCTTCATGTTATGCTCAAATATTGTAATAAAAAAAAGACTAAAAATGAAATGTATGTAAAATGGGTACCCATCAGTCAGATGCTCAAAGGTTTTAGTGCAGGACTTCAGTACTTGACTTTTAAGCTCTTATTTGGCAGTAGGTAACCAACCAGGAGTTGTAGCCCACTGTAACGGTAGGAGATTGTGTGATATAATTGCTCATCCACATAAGTTGCACAAGAGCTTGACTTTTCTCTTTATGCAACATATATGGGGTTGATGGAAAAGGTTCAGAGCAACATGGGGGGACAAATTACTCATCGTGACATCCCAGAGGCTAAGGGTATAGTTTTTATTAAAAACACGAGCATGCAAAGAAACCCGTTGGTACCTCTAAAAGCAATTCTTGGGTATTCTTAGAGAAACGTGAGCCATAAGACTGCAAGACTATGTCAAGCGCTGTGCAGACGATCACCATTACAGCACCAGCCGTGCGAGCCCGTGCGCTTCAGGGCAAACATGGATGGCCGAGAGCCATGGCGCAGGAGCCGCCTCCTGCTCCCCTTCCCTCCTGTCCGAACTGCCGGGCAGTTAGAAAGTGAAGGCTTTCATCTCACCAGGAATACAGTTTTATTACTGATTCTGTTTCCCTGTTTTTATAGTACATACAAATCACAGAGCGTTTGAGCACAGCTCGCTTGGCCTGTATTTACATCTCGGCAAACAGGCATGGGCGTCCGAACGCTGGCCCTGGCCAGCAGAGAGCAGCTGGGGTTCGACCCAGTGTCCGGTGTCATGTAATAAGGTTTCCTGATGTAAAAGACAAGTAGCCATTTCTGTGCAGTTTCAAGTGCCTGAAATGGCATGTCAGCCACTGAAGACTTAGATTCTGGCTCACAATAACTCTTCAGCAATATATATGAAAAGAACCTCAAAAGCCTGGTTATTTCTCCTACTGTATTTTTTTCAACAAATCTTTCAGTTACACCCCAAATTGCTCTCATATTTGCTATAATCTTCAGAAACAACAGTTTTCTCAAAAAAAGGTATTAAAGAGACGATATATTATAACTCAAACAAACTAAACTGTAACAAATCCCTCGAGAAAGAGAGAAAAGTTTCATTGTATGGAGAACATTTTAGTAACCTAAAAACCATTCATTCTAAAGACTGTGGGCTCACGTGACCATTTTAACATGAACATGCACTGACACAGAGGAAGCAGCCCTGTGTTTAGCCGTTAAGACCATAAAGAAGAACGATGGCAGTGTCATGGAGGTGGCAGGGACCCGGCGGCTGGAGAAATCACCCCAGGCACGCTCCGGGGGGTTGGGGGGCAGGGCTTTCTGTGCCTGCGTGGACCCTCGGAGCCTCTTTCAGACGTGGTTTTGAGGTCTCCTCGCCAAATACATAATTAACAGGGAGCTACCGTTGGAGGAAAAGGAAAAACGCCCTTCAGCTGCAGGGGAGCCGCTGGGGGGTCCCCCCCACCCCGCGGGCCTTTGCTCTCTGTGGTGGACAGTGCTGTCCGCAGTTGATACTATGTTTGCCGAGGTGAAGGAATGGGGGTGGGGGGTTGAGATCAGTTTTACATGTGTGTCGATGTTCGTTTTTAATCTAAAACTAAGAGTTGCTGTTTACATCACTTGGGAGTGATTTCCTCTTCCCGATTACATGTGTTGCTATTCTCCAAAGTTTATAAAGAATATGGATAAAATATCAACTTTAAGTGAGTTTGAGGCTTAAGGAGTTTCTAGATATTAGAAGAACTAGTTGGAACATGAGCTAGATAAAGCTCTTAGAGAATGCAACGTGCCCCCCTAAAGTGGATCTATTAAATGGAAGACACACGCATTTTCTTTTCATTGAAAGCCCCTATATTCAACACTTAGGCTGGCATTTAATGTCATTAACTAATTTTAAGTAACAGTTATGAAATGGATAGCAGCGAGTAGAAAGGTTTGTTGGGACTCAGGGCTGCACGGACCTGCAGTTCTGGTTAAACCTGTCACCGGCTCACCAATTTCTGGTCCAAGGAGCAGCGACTGACGTTCTGCTTAACCAGCCGCGGATTAACGAGTTGTGGGTGGAGATCGTGAGCAGTAACAGGGATCGTCTCCTTACACTTTAATTTTATGAAGGAGAAGCTTTAACGTCTCCCCGGAATGGCGTGGCATTCCTCTGTGTCTCCCGCTGTAATTAAGATGCTCTGTCGCTTCTGCCAGAGCGAGGCCAGGCAGCAGGGCGGTCCCGAAGTTTTTAGGGTGGCGGGACACGAAGTTGCTCCCTGTACCGAAAGCCCCGGGGCAGCAGGGGCTGCTCGCGCGTCAGTCAACGCGCGCTCTTACCTGGACCCGAGGCTGGAAGGGCGGACGCCGCCGGGGACGGTGGCCGTGGACGCAGGCGGGGAAGGCAGCGCCCGCGCCGCTCGGCTCGGCTCGGGCTCGGGCTCCGGCTCCCGGAGGCAGTGGCACCCGCGGCGGCCCGTCGCCCGGTTATGTAACATCCCACCGATCCCGCCACCACCGGCTGCCGCCAAGCCGCTGAGGCGCTAGAGGGCAAGAGTGTCACAGGCAGTACGCGTCGCCGAGGGGCAGCGCGGTGGCACCGGGGGACCGAGGCTGACCCAGCTGCCGGCCGCCCGGCGCCCGGCCGCTCAAACACTGTCCAAAAGGCCCGTCCCTGGCTGGCTGCGCAGTTGCTGGGGCAGCAGAGGCGCGTCCGCTAGCTGCCTGCGGAACTGCGAACCTGAGTCTCCCCAGGCGGCGGCAGTTCGTCCCTGTCCGCGTCACCTTGTCGGACAGGGGCGGAGGCGGTGGCGCCGCGGGTCCCAGCTCCGCCGTCACCGGCGCGCCGGGGCTGCGGGTCCCCGCGTAGGGGCTGCGGGCCCGCTGGGTGCTCGGGTCCGGGCTCGCTCGTCAGCGGACCTGGATCCGCCCCGTGCCGCCGGCGCCTCCGGGAGGGAGGGGACCCGGGGGAGGGACCTCCGCCCGCCGCCGCCTGCGCGGAGCCGCACCTGGGTCTGAGTGCGGGACCCCAGCCCCGTCCCCACGCCGCGCAGGGTGGCGCCGGGAAGTGGGCGCGTCCGCGGGGTGGCGCTGGAAAGGCGGGGCGCACGCATCGTCCCTCTGGCCGCTCCGCGGGCGCCCGCAGACCTGGAGGCAGGACACCCCTCCCTTTCGCTGTCTTTCCTAAAGGGCAGAGCTCGGGCTCCCAGAGCCGGAAGGCCGGCCCTGCAGCGGCCCGTGCCCCGAGGTGCCCGGTTCCACTCTTCAACGCTACCACTTGAATACGAGCCTCAAGGCACGATTTGTCACCCCCCTTGGATTCAGGAACGCGGCACCTGCGGGTCTCAGGAAGTGGGCAGTGGGGTCCGCGGGGGGCCCCCGATGGTGGTGGGGGTCGCCTGCCCAGGGCTCACTCGGCGCCCTGGCGGCAGGCGCTGTCAGAGTCCCTGTGACTCCCGGGCGTCCGGGCCGGGCTGCCCTGGGACCTGGGCGTCCTGCGCGTCGGCTTACAGGAGAGGTGTGCGACCAAGCCCGCCTGGCCAATCAGCGCCGGAACCGCGCGCGGCCAGGGCCGGCCCTTTCCGCGGCGCCCCCCCACCCGCCGACCCGCTGTGGGCAGCGCGAGGGGCCCCACCGCGGGGTTCTCACTCCCGAACCCACGGATCTAGCTCTTGAATTCAGGCAGCTTGGGTCGAAATTTCCAGTTATAACGATGGAAAGCGCCCCGCATGACTCAGAAGTTAAACCTCGAGGGCGTCTGGATGCTGCGGGGCAGGGCCCTCCATCCGACCCCTGCGCCCTCACAGTGCGGGTTGGATCTGTGAGGCGCCGGGCGCTGGGCATCCTGGCTGTCAGCGGCGCTTCTCAATCTTCCTCATCTCACGGCACCCGTAGACTGATGACTGAGGTTCCGCAACACAACAAAGAATATGTTTTTTTGCAATGTGACAAAAAACAAAATAGGTACAATTTTGAATCATTCACACTGGATGGCTGTTGTGTTGGCTGTTGTCATTTTTTTACCTGAAGCCTAAGGGAAGAGACGCCAGTGCCCTGGGCAAGCAGTCAGGGACTGCCCATTCCAAACATGATCCTTGCACCGGGTTGAAAATCGCGGCTGTCCGTGGAGGCAGGGTTACAGCAGTGACCCAGCCAGGGACCCTTCCGCAAGCTTGCAAAACTGCCCAGGTGGCCGAATGCTTTGGCCAGACGATGTGAATCAAATTGGCTTTATTTGTTTTTTTTTTTTTTAGTCGAGGCCCCCCCCCCCCCCAGGAAGTCTTGGGCCTCTCAGGAACTGATTTATGCTCCTCTCGTAGAGACGCTCTGTCACCCAAGCACCTCCACAGCCACCATCTCAGTTATGGGGAAAAAGAAATCGAATGTCTCCCAGATGCTTCTGGGAGTATCAGGTGCTCTTCAAAAGGAAAGCAGGCGCCTCCCCTGCCCCCAGTGACTTACAAGGTATTGATACCCACGCAGGGCCCGGCAGCCTGCCCCTCACAGGGTCTCAGAACTAGACTCCACCCCCGAGTCCCCGCGTCCCCGCGCGTCTCTAGGTATGCGGGCAGGTCCAGAGATGACTGCCATTCACGGTTTTCTTCAGTCGTTTTCTGTCTTCCCAGCACACACACACACGAAAGAAAGAAAATCTTTTATACAAAGAAGGTGATTACGGTTTTATGGCTCTTTTGGGGGCTTGTTCAGCCAGGTGTGCCTGAAGCACCGATTTCCTGCAGTGTTGGGGCGAATGGTTGCTTACACCCTCCCCCCAAGGCCCCTCACTCCCCACCCAGACCCCTGGGGTCACACCATCCTTCCCTGTGACACAGTCAAGTCTCGCTGCTCTGTCCTAGAAGTTCTGTCTCATAGCAGGTCGTCAGTTGCCTGCGGGTCCTTCCCCGTTACGTGGCCAGCAGACAGGGAGGAGGGAGCCACTGACCAGCCCTTCCCAGCTTCTTTCCCTCACTCAGGTCAGGGAATGGCGTTCCTTTTGGAGGATGGTCCAAGTCGGTGTAAGACGAGCTGTAGACAACAAAGGACCCGTGGCTGTCGCTGAGGAGACGCGAAGAAGACCGTCTGGTCCAGGGACACATGTTTGTGACACACCGCACATTTGTCATCTCAAACGAGCCTGATAAGATTCTTTAATGTGATAAGTGTGTTAGGTTTAGTTTAGACTTTTGGGATATATCAGTTTTTGTAACCACCTTTGGAGTATCTATTACTGTTTACATAAATACTAGGACCTCAAAGAATCAAAGAAATAGAGGCTCTGTCTACCTTTGAAAATCCCTGATACATTGTGAAACATTTTTATCAGAGACTCAGCTTCAAACACAAAAGGAAGACTTTTTCTGTAAATTAAATATTTGTAGAAACCATTAAAAAAAGATACCAAAGTGCTGTGTACACACATGTATTTTGTTTGGTCACCACCCTGAAATAAGACTCATCACAGTGATGCAGCGTCTCAGCACTTCATGCTTCATATAGGTCGGAATCATTTACATCTTTGATAGGCTTTCGCCCTTCATCTATAGAAGTTTCTACGTGGAGGGTGATGATTACAGAAAAATTTTGGGAAGCTCATTCCAATGGGCAGAGCCCTCGTCTATTTGTCAATGTCTCGTTAAAGATGCAAGGGTTGGCGAAGAACGCATCAGCCTGCCTGACCTGGAATAGCCAGCAAGTGGAAGTACTATTTCCCTGGAAACTATTCAGCTTGGACGTATGGTTACAGTCATTAAGGACACTGCCAAGCTGCCAGAAAGCAACGAGGGGGGATTTAGAAGACAACATATTCCAGCTGGGAACCCTAACGCAGCTCCAGGAAACGCACCCCTGTCTCAGGTGACATTAAAGTGAGAGTGAGTCAGAGTCCGCAGAATGATCGATTACAACAAAGGGGTGTGGGAGGGGCTCCGGGCGTCCCCGAAGCCACAAAAGACGACTGCCACCCGCCTCTGAGCTCCCTTGCAAACAGTGCCGTGAAAAGTGTGCACGAGGTCGAATTCCTTGAGTGTCGATCCCGGCCCACCTGACAGCGTGCCGGCTTAGAGCACAGCAGGCCGAGGGCGGCCGCCCCCGGGCTCGGTGCCCCAGGGTCCGGGGGAGGGGGCTGGCCCAGCTCAGGCCGCCGGCTGCCCCGGGTGTCGCATCAGCAGGGGTGGCCTGGGCCTGAGGGTTGGCATTTTTAACAAGTTCTCAGGACACAGATTGTGATTTCATGTGGGTCTATAAGCATCAACATTTATTATTATACAAATTATTTTCAAATTAATTCTGTTCTTATGTTAATCATATTACATCTACAATAAAGTCAGTGTTTTAATTGGCTCTCCATATGATCCATGAGCGAAACTACAGAAATAAAAAAAGAAAGTGGCTTGTTCAAAAGCACAGGGCTGTGGGCGCAGTGGAAGGAGCGAGACGCGGAACCGGGAGCCCCGCCAGGCCTGCGCCCCGCGCCGGTGGGGCCTCCCTCCCTGGGCCCCAGCCAGGGCCTCTCACCCAGCCCTCACGTAAAACTCACCGAGGAGGAGGAAGGAATGGTTTTCTCAGCGTGGTAGGTGATGTTTTACTGCCCTGATGAGACAGAATCCCTCGTTTTATCCTGTCATTAACTTTTTGTGTTCCTTAGCCAAAATAAAATGCCTCTACAGGTTACTTTCTGTCATTTCTGGTTAATTTTCAAATGCTTCTTCCTCAAAAATAGCTCTGTCCCTTACATACAACTAGTTAAGTGCCTACGTGCTGATTGTCACGTGTGTGGCTAATTACGAGCCTCGGGCGATGGCGATTTGGCAGCGGGACCGTATCCGTATCTCCCGGCCAGCGTCAGCTGTGGAGGTGACTGTTGTTTTGTTCTGTCCTAATGGAAAACACAGGGGGTCGTGAGATTCTAGAACTCGCTGTGCGAGGCTTCAAAGCTGTCGCTTAATATTCAGGCACGGCCAGACATCATTAAGGTGTCCCTCTGATCCAGCTCGAAACATTAAAACATCATTTAAGAGCTCGGCCTCATGCCATGAGGCACAAGGGAGAGTCGTTGTAAAAGGAAAACAGATGATTCTCACTCAGTCTGTGGGAAACAGGCTGGATCAGGGCCCCAAGCCCTTTGCTTGGCTTCATTGCACATCTATCTGATCCTTCGATTTCAAGAGGTTGGAAAAAGAGCACATGTTCAAGAAGGCGGAGTTGTATGAATTTGTTTTGTCTGTCCCCCCTGAAGGTGCGCCTTTGGAACTGGGACGGGAGCGGAGCTGGAGGGGCGATGGCGGGGAGGCTGGGGCGCCTGGGCTTTACCGGCGGCAGACCCCCGAAGCCGGAGGCGCTGCCACTGAGTGCTCCGCCACTGGCCGACTCAGAGCCCTGCGGGCGTAAGGATGAAGGACTAGCTGGGAAAGGGAGGTTTCTGCAGAGAGTTGCCCCCTGCACCGTGGGCAGCACCCTATCCGGGCACAGGAGAGTGGAAAGCAGGGCCCGCTCCCGGTGCCTCTGACACAGAGCTTGGTGCCCCGGCCGCCCGAGGGAGTGCAGCCCCCCCTTCTGTTCTCCTCAGCGCGCCCTGCGAACCCGTCCCGGACACGCACGTGCCATGGCATGAGAAGATGGGTAAATGCCAAGGGTTTCTCTGCAGAGTCTCATTCTGATCCCGGGGATCCATGGTCATTTTATTGCCCGTCCGCAGGATACTGCGCGCCAGTCTGGAAAAGGTTCCTTTCCTTAAGCCCTTTCTGTAAAACATTTAAGAATTAGTCTTTGAAAGATGGCATGAGTACCTTTTGTGCCCACGGCCTGGCGTATAAATTATCCATTTAGACCCCGCCCCCCGCCACCCAGGGCGGGGTGCAAGGCAGGCACAGGCCCTGGAGCTCCGACACTGCTGGTGGCTGTGCATTCACAGCCAGCGGGGCGTTGGAAGCTGTGCTGAAGGTCGAGGGTGGAGGGACCGAAGCAGTTTGTATTCAGGCCTCGCTACTCTGGGGCCAACAGTTGGCTGGCTCCTCCGAAAAACCTTAACTGTAGCTCAATGTAGAAAATGATTACTTTTCAGTATGGGATAGAATTTCAACTAAAGCCAGGAGAACTGTATTGATTTTATTTATAC